AGCATCTGAGATTAGATCATTAGCCACAGAACACAACTGACATATTTCATAGCTGGAGTTACCCAGGAAGGGAGTGCTGCAGAGATGGTGGTGGGGAAAGTCTGTATATACTTACATTGACATCAGTTCTGTCAGCCACCCAACGAGCAAGCTGTTCAGCTGCAAAGCCGCGCACCTGGAGTTCGTATGTGTCACCTCGTTTAGGCTTCCCTTTAGCAGGAAAGTTAATGAAGGTTGGAGCAGAATTCATGTTTAGCTGTATTTAGAAAATTCATAGAAGATACGGCACCATGAAAGGTCTCTTTAGTAACACAATTCTATTCCATTTGTATCTCGCAACATCATCACTAAATCAATCAGAAAAAGTAACTTAAATAGATTTCACTGACAATGATTTAAAAAAAAAAAAAAAAGTAAAGACAGCACACAGTAGCTTGCATTTCTGTATTTCATAAAAGTAATCAGTGTACTCCTGCAATTCCCCTTTTGTGTTCCATGCTATTTTCTCCTTTTAGTATTAAGGAACAAAATTTTTTTAGCTCTGTCACTAGCTGTTCTGGATGTCTTAGAAAAAAATGGTTGCTTATGAGTAGGCTTTTTTTTTCTTTTTAAAACACAACGGAGCATGCTTTCTAAAGTCACTTTTGTTAGTATTCAGATCTACAACTACTGATTCAAAAGATTCAGACCAGTTAAAAGATTATAGTAGATAAATAAAAGTAGTTGTTTACAAAATGCAGTTCTGTCTTTTCCTAACACCGTTTTTCCCATAACATTTCAGTTTTTTTCCATCTGTTTCTTCTCTAAATACTACTTTTGAGACAAAAATCTGCAAAACAGGAATATATACCTTAATTTATAAAGGCCATATCTTGATGACTTTATTTTTATATAACACCATGGGAAAATTTAACAAGAATAATGAAAACCATCCTTTTCCACATCTCCACTCCAAAAGCATCCATTTAATAAAATAACATTGCCTAAACTGTGTAGCTTTTAAATAGAGATGAGTACCTCAAAAAAAAAAAAAAAAAAAAAAAAGTGAAGTTTTGCAAAACGATAATGAACTATTAATGTGATCTACAATTCCAAGCATACAGGCAATGTTCTCATACATAAAAAAAATCCAGTTATATAATATTAGTAGAAGAGCAAAATGACTAGGTACTTGAAAATAAATAAATTAACCCATACTGAAAGCCTCATCTATCATTCTCTAGTAATCTAAAAGTTTTAATAGCTGTTGCCAATGACATCAGTGCTTTATATCTTGCCTCTTCATGTATCATAGAAAAATTCCATTAAGAATTACAGCATAAGTTATTATAGGAGACGAACAAGTTAGAGAAGCCAGGTCACTCTTTGTGCCTATTCTAGATTTGTCACTTCTGTTAATATTACTGCCAACATGCTACTGCCCTCTGCTCTTCTCACTACTTCCGAGAATGGCAGCTTTTAACTTCTCAATAATTTCTTTAATCACTGTAACAATGCTACATGTAACACATCTTTACCTTCTTGCCCTCAGTCTCCAAAACCCAAGTTAAAAATAATGTTAGAAAATAAAAAGACCAACATTACCATCTGAAATACATCTGAGCCTTCATCAAAATCTACCATAGCAAAAAAAATCTTATTGGTAAATGCACTGGAATATCGCCAGGAATTTGCCAGAATCTGGTATTCCTCATCAGCTTGCCTGTAAAACACACAAGTGAGATGCTGTATCATATGTTTATTCAGAACACACATTATAAAACAGCCTAGGGAGCTGTAGCCACCCACCTCATTAACGGGTGCATCCCACACACCCCTACATTAATTTTCTAGTGTTAAAGAAAAAGCCTAAGGCCAGACACTCATCTAACAATCAAGTGAAGCATTTAGCACCACTGTTTTTTGAAATGCAAGGGCAAGTTCTGCCGAGTCCATGAACTCAAGCAGTGGTAATTTCTAATTTAAATTTGAAATAGAACCCAGCAGCTCATGATTTGCTAATCCACAGAACACAAAAATGAGTATAGGTGTGCCCTCTTTCCTATGTCAGAGGATAGGAAACCTATTAGTTTCAACTAACTACTTATAAAAATCATGCTTACAGACCTCTGCCACCTCCAAATTAATACATGAAAGCCATAATATGGTTAAGGCTCCAGCATATTATAATTGTAGATAAATAAGTGCTAATAAACATATTAATTAACAGTAAGTTTTAGACTGCATGGCCAGAAGTAATTCTACAAACATTTCTTCAGCAGTTCATGCCAGGCAAGTTGGTTTTACTCTCCTTCTCCAGAAACCTATCAGTGTAAATATTCTTTCTACAAAACAACGATTATTTTAGGAGATAAATAATTAACACCTATATTGTTTTCTCACATATGTATTACACATATATTCCCACATACTTAATTCAAAGATAATCCTACTATAATGTGCCCCAGTATACTCCTCCCACATATGTGAAAGTTTTACCCTATTCTTAAATTTAATTGCCTACAAAGCATATGATGACTTTCAAGTTCTAATTTAGGACTAAATTAAGCCCATACTTGCACACAACACACTGCCTGTGAGGCTGAAGAGCAGTGAACATCACAATCACCGAGTAATTTCTGGGTGGTGCCTTCACAAGGCGTCGAAATTTGTCTCCATTCATTCGGATAACGGATCTTTTACTAGCCCACTCCATTAGCTGGTTCACTTTTTCTGATAATACCATCTGAAAACAAAGTCAGAGAAACACTGTTCGTTTTTTCGGTTGTTTTTTCTAGGCTCACAGAACAACCCAGAAGGTTTTTAGATCTGATGTAATGAACAGCACCACTGTATTTCTTAAGTACAGGAACCACACGAAGTGATACTTCATTAAGATTCTTGAAGGCGTTCACAGGTGCTTTTGACATTAATATTTTTAATTGACTTTAACCACTTACTAATACACATGCTTTAAGCACTTTGCCCCTAAGCACTTAGTATTACACATGCTGGTGAAGACTCACCTCACCAGTACTTTCTCATGCTGCTACTTGTAAGTTTTCTTTCAGATGTACAGACTGCCCCAAATCACCCCACACCGTTTATTCCATGCTAAGCATCACACTCAATGTTTCAGATTTCAACACTTGGTGGAAGCGGAATCAACACTAGAGACAGAAGCACTATGGAAGTGAGCTCATGATCGAGTTTTCAGCACTGCTGGAAAAAGCTTAGTTCAGTACATGTTTAGAGAACTGACTGCTCAAGACTAAGCTTTTCAAAAATGAGCTAACCAATTCTATAGCATTATACAAAGTGACAAAACCCCAAATATTATATTTACCATAGACTACTTCTCTATTCCTTATTACCCCCTTCTTCAGATGAGTACTTCAGGATAAATAATAAACTATTCTTTTTTGACTTACAACTGACACAAGAATATACAGAGAGATCTTTTCAAAGTCAAGTGTGTGGAAATAAGTGACACCGTTGTGATTACAACCGAAGACAGTCACTCCACCCTCCAAATCCTGTACAGTAGGAAGACAACACTCTTACAATGCCTTTTAGAAGAACCAGTAGTTAAACACGCTCGAAAGAAAAATTAGAACCAGATGATTCTAAGAAGACAGACCGCCCTGCTCGGCCCCCGGGCGTGCCCGCGGGCTTCCCCTCAGAGCCCGGCCGGTGCCGCCGCGCAGCGCCAACCCAGGGCGCGCCCCAGCCGCTGCCGGCCTCCGCCTCCCCGGCGCCCCGCGGCGGGAGCAGCCCGGCCGCGCTCCCCCTCACCTCCTTCCGCTTCTGCCCGGCGGCCCGCGGCCCGCCCCAAGCCACCAGCAGCAGCAGCGCCAGCACCGGCAACGCCGCCATGACAGCCCCGCTCCACCGCTTCGCTCCTCTCCCCGGCCCCGCCCACGCGATTCCCCATTGGCAGCGGGACCGGCCCGCCATCAACCGCCGGCCTCCGATTCGTTGAGCCTGTCTCCATCACGGGCTGCCGCTAGCCCATAGGAGCGAGGCAAGCTGGAGCCGTTCGATTGGCGGAGCCGGGGGGGGGGGGGGGGGGGTGCGACCCCCGGCGCTGAGGACGAGCGGGACCCCCGGGTGATGGCGGCCGTGTGGCTTCTTCGCTGCCCGCTGCGGTTGCTCTGCTGCAGCAGCCCCTCACTTTGAAGATACCCCTGGGCGGGTGCTTTCCGCAGCGCCTCCGGCTCTTTAAATACTGCAAAGCCGTAGCGTGCTTGGGCTGCCCGGGGTCCCCGGTGGGGAGGCACCGGGGCGAGAGGCCAGGCCTCGCTTCGGTAAACTCCGAGAAACTAAGGAAGGAATCTAGACTAAAACTCCAAATATCTTAATCGGTAGCTTTCCCCCCACACCGCGTACACTTGCTTAATTTTGTACACGCACTGCGTTAAAAGCGTTAAAATCGTAAAGGCACTGAGGGAAATGCTCAGCCGGTTACGGGCGCGCAAGTGTAACTGCCACGGAAAACGGTGGGTTTATTCATGCTTCGTTTTTTCTTTATTTCTCTATTCGACGACGGGTACGCTGAGGAAATTATTTCTGGCGCCGCGGGCGTCGCTTCAATTCCTATCTGCACCAAAATCTCAAGCCTTAGCTCCTGCCCTTTTCTAAATTTAAATTCCCACGAAGCGAGGAAGACTGAGGGGAAAAAAAAAAAATTAAAAAGTGGTGTCAGAAGTGGGATTCGAACCCACGCCTCCATACGGAGACCAGAATACCCAACCCGCCACGGGAAGGCGCGGAACGCCTTGAGTCTGGCGCCTTAGACCACTCGGCCATCCTGACACTGTGGGGAGAAGCACCGCCGGGCGCCCCTTACCGCTTCCCCCACGGCCGCGCCCGCCCCCCGCCTCCCTCAGCCCCTCGCGGGACGCTCCTCCGAGCCTGGAAATGGCAGACGGGCCCGTTTTTTCTCCGCCGGAGCTTCCCCCGCTCCCGCTCAACCTTCCCTCCGCCCCTGCGCGGCCACGTTACCCACAGGGCTCCGCTCGCCGGCGCGGCCAGCCGGTGACTTCCGGCGCGACCATTTTGTTTTTCACGGCTCGCCAAGGGTACCGGTGTCCCTCCAGGCGGAGGGTCGGACTCCGCTTGTCGGCATGTTCCCTGTGGCGAGGGCTGCCCTGAACCTCACGGGTAAGCAAGGAGGGGGCTCTCTGGAGGACGGAAGCGCTGAGGGGGGCGTTACTGGGGAGTAGGCGGTTTCCTCAGGGGGCTCCCCCCGGTTGCTTGTCTTCCCTGTGAGTACTGTCCCTGAGGGGCTGCGGGCGGCTCTCTTGTAGTCTTTCGCCAGCTTTTATTTATTTACTTATTTATTTTCAGCTTCTTACTTCCTAGCTGCTTTTATTTGAGCTGACCTTGTATTCCCTTGGTGCTTTTCCTCAGATAGTAACTGAAGGCACATCCAGGTCTTGTAATCTGAGGTGTCGAGGTGTAGTCAGTGACCAGCCTTTAAACTCAAGGGTAAAGTTACCTCTTCAGTGATAGACTCCCCAGTGTTTAACCAGGTTGTCTCAAATTTTGTCTTGGTTCATGATGTGCTTAGCCCGAGGTACCTAAAATAAATGTGCTTAATAGTGTTTCTCTCAGTAGGTATTTGAACTTTTTTTTTTTTTTTTTTCCTGTTTAAAAAACTTGTGTAGCCTCACAGAGCATGCTAGGGATTTAGTAGTGTTATGTCATGTTTGGGTGAATGTGAACATTCACAGCTATTGCTGTCATGTTTGGGTGAATGTGAACCATTGACCTGAAACTAAAAGATAGTATTTGTAGTGATTATGCACAGGTCTCATCAAATGCTTTGTAGGCAACTATTATACGATCTCTGTGTTTTGAAGCTGGTGATTTGATTCTTCAGTCCATCTTCTTAATAAGCGTACATTTTGTAGTGTATTTCTATAATGTACGTCATACTCTGTCACCTGAAGATATCCTCCTGTATTTCTTCCTCTTACAATTTACCTCATGTGAAGGCCCACAGTTACTTCCACCTCCTTCATCTTCCTCCCCTCCCTTCAAAAACCTGGAAGCAATGAGAAAGATGGTACTCATAGCTGCTGTCTTCAACACCTTAACTTGATGGTGAGCTTCATCCTGAAAATGCTTATATTAGGTACACATACTGGCAATACAGATATTTATATATAGAAATCTGAAACTTTTAAGTACAAAAGAAAATATTTTATTATAGAAATAATAATACTTAAAATGTACTTAAACTTCCACACTGAGGGCCCAAAGAAAACATCTTAATGAAAAAGGTAACTTAGAGGATTTTCTCACTGGGATTAGACTAAAGGAGTAACTTTATAAATAGAAATTTGGAGAGCTAAAATAAAATGCAAGGCTTTCTGTATATTGGAATCCTTCCAGAGCTCTAAGTCCAAAAGATTTTTTTTTTTCAGCTTTTCATAAAGACTTTTAATGCTTACGCTTGCCTCTGATGGTGAGAGATGAGAATTGTGAACGGTTTCAGTGTATATGATTTTTGTACTTCTAATTTCCTTTAACATTCATTAGCTGGTGGCATTCAGCGTACTGCAATAAGACAAGCTCATCGCAAAAATGAGCCTACCTTCCATGATAAATACGGAAACCTGGTACTTCTTGGTGGAGCCGCAGTTTTTACTGCTGTCTGGGGATATGTAAGTCATTCTTTTCACCACTCTGATGTGACTATAGCTGTAAGCTTGCAAGCTATTAAGTTTCACAAGGGCTTTTTCAAATAACATGATGAGAATTCAGGAGCTTTTTATTTAAGTGAATAGCAACATGATAGAGATGAAAGTTGTGCTAGTTCATGTTTTGAGTTATTACACAAATTTCTGTGTCAGTCTACTGCTTGATTTTAAAATGTAGTAGAAACACAAGTGTTTTCTGTTTTACTTGGGATTTCCAAGCTATACATGTAGAGTTTTTAGCAGAAAAATGTATAGATGAAAATAACAGTATGATGGTGGGGTTTTATGTTCCAGATTCTTAATCTAAAGATAGATATTTTGAAATAGAAAGTAGAAGTATTTAAATATTATTCAGTATAAATATATTCTACTTGCTTTGTTAGAAGATGAATGAGATGTCATGTTCTAATACAAGAAATCTTAACTGAAAACAATAGAAATAGCCTGTATCAGACTGTTTATTTGATTTCAGAGTTAATAATACTGACTTTTATCTTCCTACAGGTGTTTACACAAGCTGGAATGGAGTGGGGTTTGTCACCTGTTGGCAGAATCACTCCGAAAGAATGGAGGGAGTAATAGCCTGTGCTTATAATGAACTGGTCTAAACTTTCACTGAAAAAAATGATTGTGTAATGGCATTTGTTCCCTGATTACCGCTCACACAGGGGCATTCCTGGTCTAATAAACATACTTAGAAACCTGTCTGGCTCTTCTAGGTTTCCTCTATGCTCCGTGTCTGATGAAGTACAAGAAACGGTGTGAAAACTTGAAATAATTCAATCGTATTTTAGGTAATCACGGTTGTTCCTGATAAGGTCACTAGTGAATAATGGACAAATCCACAACATCGTCTAGTTGCTCATTTAGCGTGACTGTGGCTTAAACAAATATCACATGCACTCCCACTGCAGTTCGCATCACTTTACCTCTATAACTTCTGCTACGCATCTGATGACACCGTTGAGATCCCATTTATTTTCCACAGAAGTGTTTTTTATGTCTTGAATCGCTCTGCAAATAAATTGCTTCCCTCTGAGGCCTTGGAGAGTTGCGGAGAAGTTACGTGAGCTCTTGAGTCAGGGATGCTCCACAGAGGCACCCAGCACCGCCATTGGCTGATGCGGGACTTTCCTAATGAGTTCTTGCGCAACCGGAATTTGTTAGGAAATAGATCCGGGGTATATGCGGACTCTCTAAACCTCAAAGTCAGTTTGTCTCTTTGCAAAACACCACTATCCTGCTTTTTGCTACAGCAGAGGTGTACGAAATGGCGGCCTTCGCTCCCGAAGAGTTTAATTATCAGTTTCCTGCCGCCGGCCGCCCCGGCTGTGTTTACGTGGGCGGGTGGGAGGAGCCCGGCGGCGGCGCAGGTCACGTGAGGGCGCGCGCTCCCGGCGGGGCAAAGTGCCAGGCGCGCCCCCGGGCCGGGGAGAGACAGCTCCGCGCCCTCAGCCTCTGGTGAGTGCGGCCCTGCGCGCCCCTGGGGCTGCCCCGCCGCGGCACGGCCTGCTTTTTGTCTCCTCACACCCCCTACCCGGGGAGAGTGGGGGCTCTCCTTTTCCCCTTCGGTCACGGAGCAGCCGGAGACGGTGCGCGGTTCCTGCGGGGCTGCCTCAGCGCCGGCGGAGCCCTTGTCACGGCTTCCCGGGGCGCGGCGGGGGATTGCTCGGCGCTTCCCGCGGCGCCGAGCTGCGGTACGTGTCCCCGCCTCAGCGCGGGGAGGGGGGGGGAGTAGGGGAAGAGGAGGGCCCGTCTCCCCCTTCCCCACCTGAGGCGCAGCGCGGGAACGGGCCGTCCCTCAGCGACCCGGCCCCAAAACAGCCGCTTCGCGTCGGCCGCGGATCTCTCCACCGCGATCCGCCGCTTCGGAGAGGCGAGGGAGCGTGGCGAGGTGCCCCCCCCCCCCCCGCTCCGGCTGTAAGGCAAACCGCGCCGGGTGGGCTCGGGGCTCGGGGAGGCGGGGGGGCGCTCGGCATTTCAGAGACAGCCCGACAAAACGAGGGCTCTGGAACCAAAACAGCTCTGAATCCCAGACGGTATTTCCTGCTCCGCCACATCACTTCATGCAAGCTGCTTCTACCTTCGAGTTTTTCTTTTGTTTTGTTTTTTTTTTTTTCCTCCCTGGTGCTAGGCAGACGGGTGCTGGTAGGGAGTCACATCGACACTCCTGTGGTTTCTTTGGGATGCGGCCCATGCCAACAGGTTGAGTAATATCAAACCGGGAACTGAAAGGAAGAGCAATAGGCTGTTCTTATCACTGGACATCCACGTGTGAGATCTCGTTGCTTCGTGGTGTACAGTAAGTGCACTCACGGACAGACCTGCAAAAGTGTCTCTTCCACCTCTGGCAAGCTTCAGGGAAAGACTTGTAACAAATCTGAATGCCCAAGTCACTGAGCCTCTTCTCTAAGGTGCTTTTTTTCAGACTTGAGCTGATTAACTTGTACTTCTGGACCATCTTCCTTAGTGTTTTGCATTGTGATAGCAGCATTGTGTGCACAGGTATAGTTTCCCAATGTTTTCATTTAAAATCTGGTGTAAATATTCTGGAAGAAGGCAAATAGTTGTTTATGATGCTTTGGGGTAAAATCTCATGAAAATGAGTGAGGGCAAACCCAGCTTAACTACTGCCTCTCTATATCCAGGGTTTGGAAATTGTACATAATTATTGCTGGTGTAAAGTTCCTTAAAATCTTCTGTGCAGTCACCAAACATTGCATTTCTGTACTTAAATACTTGTTGTGTTTGCAGCTGTAGACCGAGAAATACTTTTTTCTGTTTGGTAATGTGGAAGTTATTTGTGTGTGTTATGATGCACTCCATAAGGACAAACACCTTTTGGTTAGAAATCTATAATTACAGTGTATTTTGTTGATTTTGTTGTAGAGAAAAAGGCTCAAAGCTTTTTTCCTTCCCAGGTGGTGAAACAGGAAAGTAAAAGCTAGCATTACATGTCATTTAATGTTTTATTATTATTTTCACTCGTAGAATGCATTCCACATTATTCTGCCTTGTATCTTGAGACTAAGTTCAAGAATGAGGAGCCCCAGTTGGCCTTAGTATGCTTACATAAGAAGGGTTTATAAATTATATTCCACTTCTAATATTTTCCGTGATTCTTCCAGGAGAACATTCAGGTTTTCCAGAAATCTGACTTGAAGAGGTAGGGGAAGGACATGAACCAAGTAAAAAAAATGGCTAAGAATTTGTCTCAAGTATTGTAAAACTTTTGTTAGAAGTAAAATGTTTTAGGTGTGTACTTTTTTTTTTTTTTTCATCCACCTTATATAAAGTCCATCAGAGCAACTTCCATAGTCTGCTGACCAAGCAAGACTCGTTAAAGTCTTGAGCAACATGAATTACAACCTGTTTAGAGTATCATGTAGCTGTCTGTGACATATTTATTATAGAGGTGCAGTTTCTCCCTCAATGATTAAGCCTCATATATCTAGTCATACTTTTCAATGCGTCTGTTTGCCAATGAATGTAATAAAACCTTGTTCTTTCGTACAGGACTAGATCTCCTGTAACCCATTCTCCAGCACTTTTGTAAGTGTGAGGATGAGGTTATACAGGTCTTTCCTTTCATGCTGTCCTTTGCTATTTTTCGTAAGTGTTTGCAGACTTTCAGGGACAGGTACCTTTTTTCCATTAAATGTAACGAGAAATTTCTTTTTCTGCTGCCATAAACAAGGCAAGCTACAAAGTAGGACTCAGCCATTTAGAAATTTAATAAAGTCTAAAGGCTATAGTTAAATCTGACAGATTCTGTTTCTGGCATTTGTGTTATTTTTGCCTAGCTTTGACCTCTTTCAGTTTCAGCACTACAAATTCAAGGTAATTGTATATAGAAATCTTTGGTGAAAACTGAAGTTGTACACTTAGCCAGAAACATTTTCTGTTTCTCCATTATGTATTTTCTTACTGATGTTAGAACAGGCACGAAGCACGTTTGTGATGTACAGTGCTTTGTGTCACTGTGATGTCTGGGTTAGCTTGGATCCTAGAAGTACTCAGGTGTTTTTTGTGGGGTAAAGTGAGAGTCCGGGTTTTTACCAGTGTTGTAACTTACTCTTCACATTGCTTGTATTTTTTTTTTTTGATAGTGTGAGGTTGTGAATGAATTACTTCCCTGAAGCACGATGAAGTCAAAGTTATTTTACTTGCAAAGACTGCTGTTCGCAGATCCAAAAAAATGATTGAGATGAATCTAAGTTTCTCAGTCACTTTGTGCTTGATCCTTATTTAATTTTCCTTTCCATGAGAAGAAATTGCTGTTGGAAGTAGAAATTATTTCTCCTTCCGTTCCTTCATTCACTTAATAGAAACACTAGTTCACTTTCATCAAGAAAATGAAGTGTCTGGATTTTAACGTGCACACAGGCAACCCAAGCACTAAGCCTAAAATTGTACCTGAAGAAAACATACAAGGACTTATGTCTATTCCCAGATATTATTTTGGTTTTAATTTTCCTATGTACTCCTGTCACTGATGTACTCCTGTCACTGAATGTTGCTCCTCCATGTGTAGCCTACCGTGTGTGGTTATGCAGTATTTCAGAACTAGTTTATTTCTAGGGCTCTGCTGCTTCATTGATGGTATTAATATACAAAAAAGGAAGTACTGCTGCCTTAGTACTACAAAACACAGGTGAAAGTAATAAAAGATAATAGAAAGTAGGAGTTTCTTAAGGTATTAAGCAGTCAATAGTATAGTAGAGAATACAAAAAGCTTTTACAAAGCTTGTTCAAAGCCAGGGCTTTTGTAAGATGAAGCCGCTTTAGATGATGCTTCAAAACAGCAGTCATTGAATTGAAGCCTTTTGGTTTCATGTATTCTAAATACATAGCTGTTAGATAAAATGGGGGGGGGGGCACCCTGGCATTTCTTTGCACTGTTAAATCCTAAAATTCTTTACTAACTGATGATGGTGTTTTATAGATGGAGTAATGCATTGCTTAAGAATAAAACCACTATTTTTCTCTAAAACAATGTGTGATCCATAGCTTAGTGTCTCACTTAAAAGAATATGTCCATGATAACTTTGAATTACAAGTTATTTATTAGCAGTCATTTGCCTTGCTGTCAGTGGTAATAATAGATGTCTTCAGTGTCAGCTTATAAAATGCATGTTGTTCACATAGAAAGCTTTTTAGATATTACAGATGGTTTAGATTTGTTGCTTGTTTCAGCTGCATCCTGCTGGAACCATAACTGTCCTTTGTATAGTGAGGTTCTCTTTTGAGCTAATGCATATAAATATACACATGTATACATATGCAGCATTATATACGCAAACATTTTTTTAAATGGGGAGAGAAAACAAACATATATAGTGATGGATGGCAAGAGTGAGGAAACAGGGTGTTCCAAGTTCAAGGTATTGGTGGAGTATGCACGGATTGCTACACAGCCTCATGCAGATCTTTTGACTTCTGCATCCATTTTCATGTGAACTTGGTAAAATATTAACACATATAAGAAGAACTAGGATCGAATTGTCAATATTTGTATACCTCTTGTGTGCATCTAGTCATAATTTATAACAAGTATTTTTCAAGCTGCTTAACCATTAGTTTTTCTTAATGTTGTCAGAAGGTAGGAAATTATGACAAAAATACTTTTTAAGTTTCAGCCAAAGCATTTCAACCAGGAAGCACTCATAAAGGAGGCAAGGAGTTAATAATGAAATAGACTATAACAAGGTAGAATATTGTCTCAGTTGTAAGCATGTATTAAATTATAAATTTAACTCATTCTGGGCGTTTTGTAAGGGGAGGAAAGCATATGTGTGTATACTTATCATCACTGTGTATTAACCCTATACGTCCTTCTGAGAACAAGATCTCTTTAAAGCATCAGGAGCACTGGAAATGCAGACAATTTGGTCTTTGGAAATCTCAGGCTGTACAGAAAACTGAGATTGTGAATGTGTTGTTTCTCAATTCAGTGTCAGTAATATAATGTAACTGATGTGAAGAGGCAGTACTGCTTACGAAGGGCTCGTTTTCTGTCTTTAGATTTGGACACATCTCGTTTTTTAGAGAACAGCCTGTTTTTAAAAATGGTATGAAAACTGTTAGCAACTTAAAGCAAATAAAAATCCTTGCTTGCCAGCTTCCTCACCGACAGATTTGTTAATGATGCATATATCATCTAGATCCAGTAGTGTTTCTTAATGAAAAGTCAGAGAACAAAAAGAAGCGACAGTTTGATCCAACAGATAAATTCTATGATGGAACTTCTCAATTAAGTCCTAGTACTTTGGGGCCTTGAGGGGTAAAATAAAAATAATTCTTTTATGCCTTTATGCTTTTGGCATGTTTGAATTAGAATGTTTTCCAGGAAAGGATTTTCTCTAATGTGTTTATACAATGCTAAATGCCATGGGGCCCTGATCAGTTGGTCCTAGAGACTCACCAACCCACAAAAAAACCTTCTTGAGGCAGTAGAATGATTGCAGTTTGATTGCTTATTATTTACATCCAAACACAAATAGCAGATGATGTGTTTTATTTTAAAGGAATGGTTGTGTCTGTATGTAGCATGCACTTGAAACACAAACAGGACCTTCTGCTGACATAATGGGATTCTAACATGCTTTATAAGTGGTCCTGAGTTGCTGCAATTGGAGTATTTTCTTCCACTTCTGTAAATATCATCCGTTATATTTGAAGTCACTTTGCAAACTTTCTTTAGCTATTAGGCCACTAAGACAGAAGACTTCTCATAATTCCTGTTTGTCTTTTTACATGCTACCTTTTAAGTAGGAAAACATGAGACTGAGTAAAAAATGGTGGAAGTGCTTATACGTGAAATGAACAGCAGAAGGACAAGGAAACAAACTGAGAAAATGGAGGAAATACTTTGTCCACAACAAACTATAATAACAGTAGATGATTTTAAAAAGTGTGGGTTTTTTACCTATATAAGCAATTGTGGGTTTTTTTCCATGCATTGGTGGGCATTCAGTAGTAGTGCTGATGGCTACCCTAATCACTTTAATAAGTACTAGTTCACCATATTATATGCGTGGCCACTGTTAGTTTGACATATGACTTACAGAAGAGGCTTTAATGCTGTATCCTAGTTTGAATATTCTTGTACTGTAGCTTGAATCTCATAAACCAAAGAACAGGCAAGAGGCAGGAGCTCGGCAGGTTTTTGGAGACTCTTGTACCGCTGTACCCCAACTCTTGCCAACCTTTGATTATTTTAGATAGCAGCTCACAGCCAAAGTATTTCCCTACTTCCCTCCCCAAATACAGTAATAGCACAGTTGGCAGGGCAGGGCAACTGGACATGTTGATCATGTACCTGAAATGCTTTTAAATTAACTTCTATCCAGACCTTACTAGAGGACAGATTGACTTTGTGATAGACTACTGTGTCTCAGTTAGTTGTGCGTGTCTGGTTGTGCTCACAAAGCAGACTGTTAGTCAAGCACTCTTTGAAAGTTTATTTGTACTTCAGCCTTGTGGGAATATTGATGGCTCCCTGACTGTGGAGTCAACAATTACATCTTTGTTTGCTCTCTATGGATTGAGCATTCTTTATGGAAGAACCGAGGTAGTCAGTAAGGATCATATTCCGATATGATGACATGAAGGCATGTATTTTCTTGGACAGCTTTATAGTGTTTAAAAATATCTTGTACCTCTGAGTGTGCAGATGAGCCTGAGAGAGGACCTGTTGTGTGAGGTTTGATAAAATATACTCTTCTGCTGAGGCATAATTCTCTTGGGTCAGGTGACAATTCTATATTTCTGCAATGTGTGAATATTTGTATATAAATATTTGTGTGTGTGTTCCTAGTAACTCAGACCTTGTAAGAATAAGTGAGAAGTGAGATCTGTAATAACTCTCAGAGTTTTCTTATTTCTGTTCTTAGCAGGGATGACTTCTTGTTAGTGTTTTCTACTGATTGTAGCATAATAAGATGCATTATTTAGTAATAGTAACTTATTGTCACTGTTTTATCTCCTGAGGCAGCTGCACCTGGTTAGTACAGTCTGTGCAAGTGTTAATGCTATTTTCCTGGGCAGCCTTAGCGACGATCAAAGCTCTCGTTGCCTGAGGCCCCGATTTGTGGGAGCTCTTCCTCTGTCTCCTGGCACTGAGGCCGCACCCTGCTGCAGGGTGTCCCGCGTGCAGGACGAGAGCACCGCGCAGCTTCTGATTCTGATCCCGCAGCCGCCGGCGCTCTCGAGCTGTGCTTGCAGCCCTGGTGCTTCCAAGCTTCGTTAGTGACTGGGGTGGAGGGATGAAGCGTTGGCGCTTTGCGATGCATTCAGAGTAAATACGTGATGCTTTTCGGGAAAGTCATATGTCACAGGTTGTTCGAGGTTCTGATCAGATTTAAGTATCCGTGGGAGTGCCGCTCAGGCTTCTCCGCACGTGTCAGTGAAAAAGGTTCCGGCGTTGTTGCACACAGGTGTTTAAACTCCTTACAGCTGTGGGGTTTCCTTTATGTCATGCTTACCATTAATGTGTGCTAAGTCTTGGTTTGTCTAATCATTTATTGCGTACCTCCTGAACAAAACTTACCGCCTATCAGAATGTGAAGGTCCAAGCCACAGTTTAGATGAATTAGCTGATTAGCTGGTCATTTGAGGATTTTAGGAGATGCATTGGGAAAATAAATCTTTACAATCTGCTTCTCAGACTATATTTCATGTTTGCATAGTTAAACTTTTTTTTTTTTTTCTTTTTTTGGCCTAGAAATTATAGTTAAATTCTCCCATGGGTTAGTGGCTGACGGAAATTTGCAATGTGTTCCTGGTTCTTCACACAAAATACATATTTTTCCTTTAACTGCATTTCATCTTTTGGATACTTCACTAATTCAGAGTTTTATACTCTACGTTTTATTGATCAAGCTTCAGCATTTAGTTTTGTGCATCAGTGAGGTAAACCTGTTACTATGGTGAAACATCCTTGTATTCTTACATGGTTTGTAGCATGTCTCAAAGCAAAACCAAAAACTTTCAGACCTTCTGTAACAGAGAACCATTCTGAACTGTCACTGACAAACAAGAAAATTAATTTTATTACACATTGTTAATGCTTAATGTAATTTAGTTTTCCAAGATAAGTCCCCATTATTTAAGCACGTGCTTAATTTTAGCTGTTCAGTTAGTCATCAAAATTTGCTATTGATTCCGCTGCAGCCAAACATTTAGTAGTCGACTTTGGTCATTTTTCTGGTCACTAACCTCGCTGTCAGTGGAAAAAATAAAGCAAATTTTCAACAGGTAAAAAAAAAAAAATTAATCTGTAAATCACTTCTTTTGCCTTAACTGTTAATCGTTTTTTAATCAACAGCAATGTGAAGACTTGAGTAGAATTTCACGATGGAGGCAAAATCCATAGTCATCGGCGTGGAGGGGATGACATGCAATTCCTGTGTTCAAACCATTGAACAGCATGTCGGGAAGATGAATGGTATCCATAACATTAATGTAAGTAATGCTGTTGCTATTTCTTAGAAAGCTTTGTTCTTGTATGAGAAACCATGACAAAATATGCACTAAAGGAAGCAGATATGTGGAAAGAGTATATTCTGTACATTTCATGGGAAGCTGATGTTGGAAGAGCATTAGTGTATTTCTGGTATAAGAGCAAAGTAAGTGGTTACTGCAGTGGGAGCTAAGTCATTATCTGTTACTCCTAAGTAATTTTCTGCTTTACAGTTAATTCAGTATTGTGAAGTAATGAGAAAAAATGTCAAAAAAAAAGCAAGAGCAGGAAAACTTTTGATAATATAAAGCAAAGGCCCTGGAATTTACACTGGTGAAAAAAGTAAGCTGTCCTTGTTCCTTGTACCAGATAAATGTCAGTCAAGCCTCCAGGCCTTTTCTTTCAAACTGATAGTACACAGCGGCCACTTGCGCTGGTTCAAAAGCATTTGTGGGCCTGAGGTGTCCAGTTAATCATGTGCTAGTTGACCCACTATGAAAAATAAAGCAGTTTGCTTGTAGTCCATGAAATAAGAGTAGCAGGCAATCCAGGTGACAAAGGATAGTCTTGCTAGCTCTTTCAAACATTAGAAGTTTCTTTCCTTTGCACTGTCAACGAGGAAATGAGAGGAAGAGCAGTAGAACTGTAGTTTTGTACTGTTACCAGAGCTACTTGGTTTGCCCTTTATCCAGACTTCCTTGATATGACTTGATTTTAATGTTTTTTCCTTAGCTCTGAGAAGATACCAATATTTTGTTAGTATTTTTTTCTATCATGGGTGAAATATTGGACTGCAGCGTATTCCAGGGTGAGCTGATCATTCCTACACAGTACATCAATTTACAGTAGTTTTAATAATGGAAACAGTTTAAAAGCTGGGAGATTCCTATTAGTTTTATGGGCTAATTTGTGCTAAAAAGAACAGTCATGACAATAGCAGCAACAGAAAATTGCACAGTTTAATTACTTAGTATCTAGGATCTGAAACCATGCTGTAACTTTTTATAGTCATTGATGAAACTTCCTGGTTTTATCAAAAGATAGTTTCTATTTTAGTGGATGTGTCTTAGATGAACACTTTCCTTCCCAGAATAGGGTGTACTGTCTGAATTTGGGGGGCGTGTGATCGTTACCTCAAGCTGGTTTTGAAGGCCTTGTTGTGGTGCTCCATTCTGTACAAAAGCAAACGATGCACTAGTTAGTACAGTTTCCTTTTTCCTGAAGTAGGCATTCATGTACGCACATGGAAATTTTGGTGAACAGCAGTGCTATTTTCAAGACTCATCATTTTTCATCTTTCTTCAACTTTAATGGCGCTTTCATGTGATACAAGGCTATTTTCTGACACCAGAACCTTGGATCACTGAACAGACTGTTTTAGAAATAGGAATACTGCTCTTAACATCTGTGGCACGGTATGGTTAGATACATCACTGCAAGCATGAAGTCCTATCAAGGCTAAAAGCAGCCTGTAAAATAATACCCCCAAATAATCTGATTTTGAAATCATCCCTTTTTCCCTTATTCTGGCAAAAAATTTAGTCTCATCGACCTTGCATTTTAGTGTTTCAGCTAATTTCTGAGAACATGCAGATGACTTGAGATAGGAGGAGAAGAGAGTCATACCTTAACTTACTTGTTAGTAGTTATCCTCAATACAGCATCATAACTTCAATTTAGCCAGACCATTTGTTTCAGAAAAATCTATAAGAATAGTAAAACAGAGTTTTGTTTAGTGATTGTGAATTAGGTCAGTGAGGAAGATGAATTTTAGATGGCTAATACACACAGGCAGAGCTGCATTTAGGTTATTTTTCCTCCAACGGCAATGAAACCTATAAAAGTCCAGGTTGCTAATTCTGCTAAGGCCCATAAGTGGGACAAAAATGAAGAAAGGTTGTTTTTAAAATGATTTAACTGGTTGGATTTAATCATGACTGTGGTCTTTAGGTTGTACGTTTGCCCAGAGGAAAGATAGAATTGAATGATAATGTGTTGGGCCTCTGGCAGACATCAGCTTTCCCTTTTGTAAACTGCAATAATTGTGTTTGATGTATCATCAGTTAGGAACAAATTAAATTGAGGTTATTTGTACCATCTGATGTGAAAGGTTAGTGCCAAATCAGGACATCTCTGGATCACCAAAATGTACAGAGAGAGGAAAACCAGCTTTAATTTTTGTTATATATCAAATTTCAAAACTGAATTTTGTTCTGTGAAGCCTGATGCACTTTATTGCTCACAGCAAGTTAACAGCCTGTGCATAAGATGCCTAGGAATACTGGACTCCTTTCACTGCTGCTTAAATCTGTGGGGTTTTTTCAAAGAGTATTTTCTTCCGTCCTAGTAGCCTAAGGGTAATTACTACTAACTGCAGAATTGTGTATGTGATTAGAATTTTTTCTGTGGCCTGTTTTGCTTTTGGGATTTAATTGGGTTAGTCATCATAATTGAAGAGAGTTTGGCTCTGGAAATTTCATTAAATGCATTTATGCTGTCTGGATGTCTGAAGTAAAAGTGTCTAGACAGACTTGTAAAAGATTCTGAAACTGTGCGAGGAGGGGAGGAAATAAATCTGTTCTTTCTGGCTGTGATGTTGCACAGATGAGCATAAGTTACTTTATGGTGGCTATTGGTATGACTTTACTCTTCAAGGTGGGTAGTGACGGATAAAATTGTACTGGACAGGATTTAATAATGTATGCAAGTAAAAGTGATTTCTAGTCCTATGCAGGGTATTAGTTCTCATCTCTTAGTGTTGCAGTTGGCTGAATTGTGGTTTGTTTTTTTTTTTATTTTCCCTTGCAAGGTGTCTCTAGAGGATAAGAATGCAGTCGTCATTTATGACTCAAAACTGCAGACTCCAGCAACACTGCAGGAAGCAATATATGACATGGGATTTGATGCTACATTAGCTGATTCAAACCCACAACCTGTTTTACCTGACACTATTTTTCTTACCATTCCTACTCAGTCAGCTCTAACATCTAAACAGATTTGTAGTATCCTACTAAAGACCAAAGGTATCATGGATGTTAAAATGTCCTCTGATCAAAAAACTGCAGTGGTGACCTTCATTTCTTCCATCATAAATGGCAAGCAGATTACCCAAATGGTCCCAGGAGTAGATTTAAATATCTCTGCACTGGAGGTAACGCCTGGAACCTGTGAAGATTCCAGCTGGTCTCAAGCAAGTAGCATTGTGCTGCGCCTGAAAGTAGAGGGGATGACCTGTCATTCCTGCACCAGCACCATTGAGGGGAAGATTGGCAAATTGCAAGGAATTCAGCGGATTAAAGGTAAATCCTTAGTGTATTTTGATGTAAACTGAAGTTGACCGTGCTGTTCTCTGATTCATTGTGGAGGTATCTTGGGTTTAGATTACGTAGCTTAGTGTGACAGTTACTCTTCATGGTACCAGGTACTTAGTTAAGTGTTTAATTTGGACTAGAAGTAAAGAAAGGTGCCCAGATATGGTGGTGAGGCTGTTGCTGTTATACATGTGGCAGTATTCAGTAGTTGCTTTGTATTTTGGTAGGGAGCCTGAGTAGTTGTGTTCCATAATGTTATTACCAGTTACAGAAATCTCTAGTACCAGATGTCTCTTTGTATTGTAATTAATATGAGTTTATATTTTCTGTTCAGTTAAAAATTAATACTGGCATTTATGTCATTGTATTTAAAAAGCAAGACAAAATTATCTGTATAAATAGCTTTGGCATAAATGTATTGCCACAGACCCCTGATAAAAGCATAAATGTAGTAAGAAATAGTAATGCCATTTGTGAAAGTCCCGGGGAAAGAGCAAAAAATTGATGAATTGAAAGTTATTGTAGTACTAGACAAAAAAAATGGTTGAAGAACTAAATTGTTTGATATTTACCAAACCAATTAAATCTCCTTTCCATGATAGTTACATTTCTGAGCATTGAAAGCATTCTAGGAAAGCTTTGGCAGGATCCATTGATCTTGGGGCAGTATGCTTATTATTCTTAGGGCAGTAATGCACACTTGTTTTTATTGATGAATTTTCAGTGTTCTATTGATTAATTTTCAGTGTCTCTGGACAGTCAGGAAGCTGTTGTTGTCTACCAGCCTCATCTAATTACAGCTGAAGAAATAAAACATCAAATTGAAGCTGCGGGTTTCACAGCATCTTTCAAAAAGCAGCCTAGACCCCTCAAACTCAGTGCTATTGACCTGGAAAGGTTGAAGAAAACGCAGAGCGAAGGCTCTGAGACAGCACTGAAAGAAAACTCGAATGTGAATGATACAAAGACAGTTGTCTTCAGAATCGATGGCATGCACTGCAGTTCATGTGTCCTGAATATTCAGAGTACCATATCAGCACTCCCATCAGTATCAAGTATAGTTGTTTCATTAGAAAAGAAATCTGCTGTTATAAACTATAGCCCAAACTTAATTAGCATAGACATACTGAGAAAAGCCATAGAGGCAGTGTCTCCAGAGACATTTAAAGTCAGCCTTCCTGATGAATATGAAAACGTAGCACTTTTCCCCACCCTGGCATCTCCACTGAAGTCTTCTCATCCAGCTTTGAAGGATGCTAGCCAGCCACTTACTCAATCTGTTGTGATAAATATTGAGGGAATGACTTGCAACTCTTGTGTGCAGACCATTGAGGGAGTTGTATCACAAAAGACAGGTGTAAAATCTGTTCACGTGTCTCTCTCCAATCGTAATGGGACTATAGAGTATGACCCTCTGCAGACGTGCCCAGAAGACTTGCGATCCTCAATTGAGGATATGGGATTTGATGCATCTTTATCAGGTAATGACATGTTAAACTTTTAACTTTAAAAGGATTGTGCAGTTCTGTTTAGGATTTGGTACCACCCAAGGTGAAATTTAGCAGTTGACGTACGCTTGTGCTTGCAAAGAGAAGCCTTATATCTTCACTGTCAATGAGATAATTAAATGTATGTGCACTTCCTTTAATATATCAGATTAATTAAGAATGGTTGAGATATCTGGAAGTATATCAGATAAATACTGATGTTCAAATGGTGCTCCAGTTTGCTACTGTATAATATTCATGGCACAAATATGGAATTGGAGCTTTGATAGCTGCGAAGAATGTTACGGGTTGCTGCGCTGAATTGTCTTTGAGGATGAATTATCAAAGGCTTGGTTCCTGTGGAGTAACTAGTGAAGGGATATTTAACCAGACTCAGGAGTGAGAAGAATCTGAAAGATGTGGACAGCACTGAGGAAGTTAAAGTGATGCTGTTATGGGAAAACCCTGGTAGGCAGCTAAGCACTACCTAGCCACTTCTTCACTCCCCCACAGTGGGATGAGGAAGAGAAGAGTAAAAGCGAAAACTTGTGGGTTTAGATGAAGATAGTTTAATAGGTAAAGCAGAAGTTGCACGTGTAAGCAAAGCAAGGAATTAAGTCGTTACTTCCCATCGGCAGGCAGATGTTTAGCCAGCTGCAGGAAAGCAGAGTTTCAGCATGTGTAATGGTTACTTGGTAAGACAAGCACCATCACTCTGAACATCCCCCTTTCTTCCTCCTTCCCCCAGTTCTATTGCTGAGCATGATGCTGTTAGGTCTGGGATGTCCCTGCTGTGTCCCCTCCCAGCTCCTTGTGCCCCCCCCCACCAGACCCCTCACTGGTGGGGTGAGGAACAGAAAAGGCCTTGACTCTGTAAGTGCTGCTCAGCAGTAACCAAAACAGCGGTGTGTTCTCAACACTGTTTGGTCACACATTCAAAAGACAGCACCATATGAGCCACTCTGAAGAAAATTAACCCTGTTCCAGCCAAAACCAGCACAGATGCTTACTGTGATGACTGGTACAGTAGAAGTAATTGCACAGTGGGAGCAGATAGCTGGGTAGTACAATGCAGAAGACTTAGGGTGAGAATACAGGTGAATATTGATAGGAAGAGAGGCTTCTTGAGGGGACAGGGAAGCTCCATTTCTTGATTCAGTAAGGTTAAATTTTGAGAAATACAGTATATGAGCTATTTTATGGCAATAACTGAAGAAATGATCTGAATTTCCCATTTAATTCCTTTCATGCTGCTTCTGCAGAAACATAGCATCTCCTGAATTGCTGTAAGAAGCAGTTGTCTGTAGTTTGAGAGCCCTTCTCTAAGGTCCAAAACACTGACTTTCCTTATGAAACATGCACTTGCTTACAAATTCAGCTTTATGCCCCAGGTAACGTCAGTAAAACTGTGTGTAAACTAAGTTTGCAGTGCAGATGTTTAGCTTACAACCTACAGAAGAGGACAAAGGATGTGCAACAGAACAGACAAATACAATGAGGAAAAGCAAAGGGAAAAATAGGAACAAAATGGTAAGTTAATCAGTGGCCCAACCCTTTGTCTTGTTTTCTTTTGTTTCCTCCTAATTGACAGATGTATGAATCTGATTGACAAGACACATACAATTACCATTTTTTTGTCTAAATTTACTGCAACATATATTTGTGGCTGGTGTAGTACCAGCTCATACCTCATTGGAATGGCTATTCATAATGTCATGAATTGCAATCTCCTTTTCAGCAAAGACAGAACTACCCGTGGCAATAGCTCAGCCCTCATCCGAAGTGCAGCTGGAATCTCACAGATCTGAGCCTCCCTCCAAAGTGTCACCATCCCACCTTGCTAGACAAGAGACGAAGACTGTATCAAAGTGCTATGTCCAAGTCACAGGAATGACATGTGCTTCATGTGTAGCCAACATTGAGAGAAATTTGAGAAGAGAAGACGGTAAGATACATCAGTGTAATCTGTTAAACTTCTAAACATTTCTTTTAGAGAATCTGTCTAGCTTTTGTACAATATTTTTACTGGGTGAGTTGTCAAGTGAAGTTTCATGGTGTGTTTCGTGGGTGACAACATAGTCTGCTCACTCTTGGTTCATGGGATGAAAACAATGTTGTTATTGCTGCTTTGTCAGCATGCTGGCTAGAGACTACCTTCACAAAAGCAGGAGTTGGAGTGCTCCAAAAATAATTTAGGGATCAAATACAGATCCTCTTGAAGCAAAACCAAGTCTTTTCTACGGGAAGGATGTACCCAGATCTGCAACTTAAAGTCAGAAGTGCATGTGCCTGTATTAGGAAGGGAGTTATTAGAGAAGGACAGTGTTAATATGGATTAAAGAGACATAGTTAATTTTAGCTCTGCAAGTCAGGACAACTATGTCTATGTTCTGTCAGTGTGATTGATTATATTTGCAGGAATAAACAGTTGCATGGCTGTGATGTAATGAATTAGAGTGATTAATGTAGACTGTGTTTAATTATTGTAATGAAGATGGATGTGCTCCAAGTTACCCTGGCATTTAAATTTTTTCATCCTAGAAAATGGATTAATTTAAATCCTTTTCACTTAGTGTACAGCAGGATTGCACATTGTTAGATCCACCCTTTCTTCTACATGTTCTCTCTTGAAGAAAAAGGGTCTAGAAATGGTAAATGCAGATGAGAAAAATATGCAAACTGTATTTTAGAAGAACTTTTAACTAAAAATAGATCATCTTTTCATATAGCATAGATTGAATGTTTGTAATTAGACGGTTAAAAACATGCAACTCTTGGAGTAATACTTTCATCTGTCACACCTACACTTAGGTGCATTTGTTGCATTGTTGATGTATCTTTCAAAAATGATGATGTTTTGCTTTATTCATACCCACAATGTGGTAGCTTGCTCAATTTCAATAAGTTGCTATTGTGCCATCATGTTACTATAAGTGCATTGTTTTTCTTAAACATGATCTGCCATTCACCCATTTTGTTTTCTAGGGATACATTCGATACTTGTTGCCCTAATGGCAGGAAAGGCAGAAGTGAGGTATAATCCTGCTGTCATAAACCCTTCAGCTATTGCAGAGCTCATACGGGAACTGGGATTTGGAGCTACCGTGATGGAAAACTGTGGGGAAGGAGATGGAATTCTGGAACTTGTTGTAAGCTAGTAATTAACACCAACCACCTCCGTCTTTATTGCTTTTATCTGTTGAATGTGCTTGTGTAAGCATCCACTTCCTAAAGTGTTAATCATATAATAGAGCTTAATTTACAAAAAAATAAGAGTATAAGAGTACATCAGGTATGCATCACAAACTATATCTTGTTATCTACTCCTGAAAGCTGTGCTGGCTGACTACTACCTACTACTACACTGAAGTTGGAGAAATATTCCTGTGGTTTTTTGATTACTCTGACTATTTCAGGAATTCCCTTTTTTTTTTTGTTTTGTTTTGTTTTTTTTTTTTAATATATAGCTAAGTCTCAGTGTACCCCAGCTCTGAGCTTGAAGATTCAGCAGAGCTTAATAACGTTGTTTCTATGCTATGCTGCTTCTATAGTGCTTTCATCCTTAACTAGATAGCTCCATCTCACTGCTTCAAACCCCAGAAATATGCAATAAGTAATTCAGGATAGTGATAAGCACCTTTTATTTTCCTATTTCTTAAGATGCATTTAGTGAGTAACCTGTGGTTTTGATAACAGGAAGGAACCTTTGTTTTACAGGTGAGAGGAATGACATGCGCTTCTTGTGTACACAAAATAGAATCCACCCTCATGAAGACTAATGGTGTTTTATACTGTTCAGTAGCTCTTGCAACCAACAAAGCACACATTAAATATGATCCTGAGATTATAGGTCCTCGGGATGTTATACAGGTGATAAAGGTAAGTTTCATGAAGGCACCAAGTCTCATAAAATATCCAGTGTCCTTTGAAGAGTTACATACTCAAGAAACAGAAGGGAAGAATATTAAGGGAAAAGATCTGTCTCTTCTTCTTCCATCTGCTATCTTCTTAGTGGAGGTTTCTGCAGATCTGTGTGTTCTGGTTCAAAAGCAGTGCTCTATTATGACTTTGCCTCAGTTTTCAAACAGAAATACTGGGAAAGCCAGGCTATGGTGGAGAGTTGATACCAGCTATGGGTTTGCAGAAAAATACAGCACATCCCTGAATACTGTAGCAGGAGAGATGTAAAATAAGTTTCTTGTCTTTCTCCCTCAATTTTCTCTACTTACGTGCTTCAAGAAACCATTTTGGAAAGCCACGTTTTAGAATAGTGTTTTAATGTTCTAGAAAGGTTGATTTCTACAGCAGATTGCTTTTCTCTCCTTCCAAGGTAACTAAGAAATAGTAACAATCATATCAGAAATGTTAATAAATCAGATGTAAGGCTGGCACCATCAATAATCTGATAATAAATTTATATTAGCACAAAGTGTCTTTAAAAATTGATTGTTCTCTTTTTTACCATTATGCTTTTTCCCTTAGGATTTAGGTTTCACTACTTCGTTAGTCAAAAAAGATAGATCTGCTAGTCATCTAGATCACAAGCAGGAAATAAGGCAGTAAGTATTCCTGAACATATTTAGATTCTGTAAACATCTTTGATTCTTCTTTTGTAATCAACAGTAAATTTAACAAATTTTTTTTTGTGACTGTGCAGACTTACTAGCTAAAATGTTATCCAACACTTGACTGCAAAACAATTTTTTTTTTCTTTTTTTCCTTTTTAAAATCTGAGGTGGAAAAGGTCTTTTGTTGTGAGTCTCGTTTTCTGTGTTCCTGTCATGGGGCTGATGATTTACATGATGGTTATGGACAGTCAACTTTCAGACGCTCACACACACCACAACATGAGCAGTGAGGAAATGGAGGCCCTTCACTCCTCTATGGTCCTGGAATACCAGCTCCTACCAGGATTGTCTGTTATGAATTTTCTGTCATTTTTACTGTGTGTCCCTGTACAGGTAAGTGGGAATATGACAACTCCTAGTTTGTTGGGCTTAAACACTCAAAATGGAAGGTGATGAAGAAATTAAATTTGAAAAGCGACTGTAATTATGCTGATTTGAAATGCTTTTGAGGTTGCTGCATGCTTCTGCTGTTGCCAAAAGAAGCAGTGCTAGGGCCCGTTCCGGGCAGGCCAGTCAGTGCAGCGTGCCGTGCTGCTGCACCCGTGGGCGCGGGGAGGAGCTGGTGGAACTGTGTGCGGGTGAGAGGACCCCAGAGTGCTGTGGCAGAGATCATAGCCCTCAGCTAGAGCTGGGAGTTTGTTCAGGGAGAGGTAGAGAAGGCAGATTAGACAAATGAGTGTCTCGCTCTCGTAGGGAAATGCTGCTGCTGTGTGGTGCAAATGTGTGTATAAAATGCAACTGATGCTCTTGTTACAGATGTTTGGAGGCTGGCATTTCTATATACAGGCATACAAAGCACTGAAGCACAAAACTGCAAATATGGACGTGCTCATTGTTTTGGCAACCTCCATTGCATTCGTCTACTCATTTGTTATTCTTCTAGTTGCAATGGCTGAGAAAGCAAAAGTAAACCCTGTAACTTTCTTTGACACACCTCCTATGCTGTTTGTGTTCATCTCCCTGGGCCGGTGGCTAGAGCATGTTGCAAAGGTAAGGAAAACAAAAGCCCATGATACCTACAAGCTGTAAGACACTAAGAATCATTTCAGAATGTTGTATACCTTCAAAAAAAATCCCAGGAAGAAGCTTTGTCAGGTTCTTTTAACCTTCTTAGTTGTGAAATAATCTTCAGTAACTGAACTAGTAAAAGTATAAAATGACTTAATTATTAAGTCTGTTTGCAGAAAGTATTTTCTTAATAGGGTAAATTGCAACATATGCAGTTGTCATTTACCCAGCAGTTTTTTTTTCAACAGCATAGTCAGAAAAACATGAAAATTATTATTCTAGGGTAAAACATCAGAAGCACTGGCGCGACTAATTTCATTACAAGCTACTGAAGCTACTATTGTTACCTTGGGCCCTGATAACGTTCTTTTAAGGTATCTTGCTTTGTCATTTGCTTTTTCTGTTGTTCCTTTTTTGTTGCTCATATGCTTAATTCAGAGACAAATGTTACCATTCTGTAGAACTATGAAGTAGATTTGCTGGCAGATTTGACAGATATAAATGTTAAACTGCAGAAAAATTTAACGTTGCTGTGATTTGTTTTATTGGAATCTTGCTAATTTTTGCTGTGATAAGAAAATTAGTGGATTTTCTCAACTGGAAAGTTAATAAAATTATGGTAAAATAATCGTAGTGCTCTTTAGAATGGCCTTTCTTCCAACAGTTTTTGTATGAGTTAGCAATGTCAATGAATGGGATTATGCTTTGTGTATAGTGACAACTCCTTTTGCCTGGGTAAATGCAGTTAACAATGTCATTTTAAAAACACTGTCCATCCCTCTAGTGAAGAGCAAGTTGATGTTGAACTGGTTCAACGAGGTGACATTGTCAAAGTGATCCCAGGAGGCAAATTCCCAGTGGATGGTCGTGTTATTGAAGGACACTCTATGGTAGATGAATCTCTTATCACAGGTAAGCATTTGCTTGTTTTCAGGTGTAAAAATGTTTTCCTTTAAAGGAATCTGAAGAAGACAAGTTGAAGCTGAGGTTCTCCTCGCTCTTTTAATTGCATGTTGGGAGTTGGTAGCTATTATAATAATTCTGCAAAATGTACCTTGATATCTGTTGTTGTAGGTGAAGCGATGCCCGTGACTAAAAAACCTGGCAATACAGTTATTGCAGGTTCTATTAATCAGAATGGATCACTACTGATTTCAGCAACCCATGTTGGAGCTGATACAACTCTTTCCCAGATTGTTAAACTTGTGGAGGAGGCCCAGACCTCAAAGGTAGGGTATCAGCAAGTTAAGCATTTGAGTTCTGTCTTATCATTTAGGCATCGGCATACCTAATCAGTTGAAGAGTGCTTAGGACTGTTCAGATTTAAATTGCAGTTGCATAATGAAATATCTTGCTGAGTAAGAACTTTGATACGGTCTACTGTTCCAGATCTCATCGTCAGATTAAGTAAACATGTAATTATAAAGTGTAGTATGCCAAATGTGCTGCAAAAGGAAGCTGTGATTTTTATCTATGTCTGAAGGCATAGAAGAGAGCAAACATAATGTTGCTGGAGCTGACGTGTTTCTCCTTCCTAGGCTCCTATCCAGCAATTTGCAGACAAACTTAGTGGCTACTTCGTTCCTTCTATTGTGGCTGTCTCTGTGGTTACTCTTTTTGCCTGGATTATAATCGGCTTTGTGGATTTTGAAATAGTAGAAAAATACTTTATGGTAAGTAAGTCTCCTTAAACACCTTCTGAAATGCTTAAAAAATAGTTAGCCTACAAGTCTGTTAGACTGCCGTGGTTTGTTTTCTGAATTATCCATACTGGCAGTTGCTGACGATAGATACTATATTTTTTACTATGCTTATTGTTATTATATTTTTCATATTACACTTTTTATACTCTCTCACTCCTACATTAATACTTAAAGAGAATCTGCAGTAATTAATCAACTCCTGAAGGTTAGTATTAAAAAAAAAAAAAAAAAAAAAGTTAATTTAAAAAAGTAAGTACTAAACATCAAAATTTCCCAATTTCTATTCCTTCTCTGTGGGCAAAAGAAGCCCCTTATGTCACAAGCTGCAATTCTGCATCTAGTTTTGTTAGCACAGCTCTGTGTAAATTCTTCTTTATGATCAGTGGAATTCATCTTCATTACCGATGCTACAGGAGGATCAGGGTCCTAATTTGTACCTTAGGGTTGCTTAGATCAGTTTTCTTGGTTCATGACTATTTCTGATTAGAATTTATTAGTTTCCAGGAAAGCCATCTTCAAATCTTTTTTCTTTGTTATTGTGTATATTGTTGATAGTGTCTTTTATTTCATTACATTGCAGTGTAAAAGAGTTGTCATAGCATGTGGTACCTTATTTATGAAAATGTCCTGTAAATAAAACAGGTCATGGGTATATGCAGTATAGAACAGAACTTAGTCATTAGTTAGTCATTAGTTTAGTCATTAATCTTAGCTTTGAATCCTTTTCCTGTGCTTTACTTCTTAATATTAATAGTTTACCTTGTATATTTGCAGATATTTTTAACATCACAGCCAATGTGTAGTTGAATACATTGTTCCATTGTTCCATTTCTCCTATTACTAAAATAAACTTCTGTCACTAGGGTTACAATAAGAGCATTTCTGCAGCCGAAGTGATAATCCGCTTTGCTTTCCAAGCCTCTATCACAGTGTTGTGTATTGCGTGCCCCTGTTCTCTGGGATTAGCCACCCCGACAGCTGTGATGGTTGGTACTGGTGTGGGAGCGCAGAACGGCATCCTGATCAAAGGAGGGGAGCCACTAGAGATGGCCCATAAGGTAAAGGACGTAGGTTATTGTTACAAGAACTTTAAAGGCTGATGTCGGTGGCGTTTTGCCAACTGCTGTCTCAGCAGATCACTGCGTGTGCAGCGGTACGTGTAAGTGATGTAGGATCAGTACATGGTAGTTCGGTTTGGTTGGGTGGTTTTCTGAGGAAGCTATACGTGAAAGCTTTGTTCACTGAATGAAGTCCTCCTGTTTTGCTGCAGGTGAAGGTGGTTGTATTTGACAAAACAGGTACTATTACTCATGGGACTCCAGAAGTGATGCAGGTGAAGTTTCTAGTGGAGAGCAGTCAACTGCCACGAAATAAAATGCTGGCGATAGTGGGGACTGCAGAGAGTAATAGCGAGCATCCTCTTGGAGTAGCAATAACAAAATACTGCAAAAAGGTAAGGTTTTTTTTTTATATAGAACAAGAGTAGTTTTTGTTATTGAAGAACCTCTCTTGCAGTACTTAATGTGTATGAATAGCCTTGTGCTATTTAGAAAATAATTGATGTATTCAGTTGGGAAAGTTGAAAATTGTGGAGCTACATAAATCACCTAATACCATGTCAGATGCACTGGACACTCAAACTTACGTTTTGATGATTAATTGAATATTTCTTTGCTCCTGTTAAACTGCAGTCAAACTAACTATTTTGTGGGGTTTGTAAATGTGGTATGCTCTTGTACATTTAAAAATTTTCTCAGTTTGCATCCTTTTTCTTTAGGAATTGGACTCAGAAACCCTTGGGACGTGTACAGATTTCCAGGTAGTTCCAGGCTGCGGCATTAGTTGTAAAGTCACCAATATTGAAGCATTACTCTACAGGAAAAACAAAATGGTTGAAGAAAACAATATTAAAAATGTGACACTTGTGAAAATTGAGGAAAATATGGATGAATCGGTGCAGTCTCCTTTGATTATTGATGCTGAACTACCAAGTAAGCTAACTCTGGTTTATAGAATAAAATAGATACTTTTTGCTTTTGTGTCTTTAGGATCTTTAAGAGTGACGTCACTTTTTTTCTGCCCTGGAGAACCAGGCTTACATCAAGGCACACGTGAAATAGTTGGTCGCTAGTTTATTTCATGCTCACACATCACTCAGGACATTTTGATTAAATACAATTTGAAGTTACATTGGAATATGAGGCGGGAAAATCTCATAGGAATTGTCTTTCAGCTCTCTCTGTTTTTACTTTGCTTCATCCCAAGTTACTATTTGCTAGCCAAAATATATATCTTTGCACAACTGACTGGTTTCAATCAAAAACAGCTCATTGTTAGATGTTTCAACTATATTGGGCTGTTACCTATAAATTAGAAGCGCTGAGAAAGGGACTTGATCCTTTACGGTCCTTTGACCTGTGATTCTTGGTTCACTGAAATGGTAACTACCCATTACTGAAGAAATGTTGATGTCTTTCCTGTCAAGAACACACGAAAAGATTGGCAGGGCAGAAAGTATTAAGAAAGACTTCCTGTTTGGATTGTCTGTAATGACATTTCAGTGAATACTGGAAGAACCTGGGTAGGATTTGCTGGAGGGAAGCTTCCTGGTTATCCATATGATGGCAGGATTGTATTTTCTTCCCTCAGCTACTGTGACTTCTCAAAAATACTCTGTTCTCATTGGGAACCGGGAATGGATGAATAGAAACGGCCTCCTTGTTAAAAATGAAGTTGATAAAGCCATGACAGACCATGAGCGGAGAGGTCGTACAGCAGTTTTAGCAGCTGTTGATGGTGAGTTCCATGCTGTCTTTTTATTGTTCAGAGGTTGATTTGTCACTATTTAAATCGAAAGTAATAAGTAGTAATGTTATAGCAGTTACACCTGAAGCAGAAAAGAGATCATTAACTGGTTTTATAGTACTCACATTGAGAAAGGCCTGTTCCTGCCTTTATTAGTTGACAGGAGAGTTGGACATAATGCAAGAACTTCAAAGAGAGCAAAGGGGAAGAAAGTAGAGAAAAAAGGAATTTCTTGATTGTTGGACAGTCCGTGCTCTGTATTGCCTCAAACACTGCTGTCCTGATATCTGTTCTCATTCTGCTTTTTACTGTTGGTATTGCTGTTTCTGGAATTGATCTCACTGGGAAAAAAAAAGTTGTTTTTTTTCCTAAAGCAATAAAGATCTTTTATTACAAACACATTATTTCTTTCTGCTCTTTTAGGAGTGCTTTGTGGCTTGATAGCTATTGCTGATACTGTGAAACCAGAAGCTGAGCTGGCAGTCTACACTTTGAAAAGTATGGGATTAGAAGTTGTCCTAATGACTGGTGACAACAGCAAAACAGCAAGATCTATTGCCTCTCAGGTAAGCTGTTGTGCTTGTGCTTGGGTTTGAAGCTTGCTACAGCCCGCTCACTGGAGACCCATTGTGTCATGTTGGTACTGCTTGTGGCTGACATAGAACTGGTCTAGTGTGAAAAATGGTAACATGAACAAACTCAGTGTAAGGGGGGGAATGAAAGAAGCCTTTTCGAACGAAAGCAGCATCAACTTTGAATTCAGAGCTGTTTACATATCAGATGGGTTTGGTCTTTAACTCATGAATGGTAACATGGGTTTCAACCTTCCTGCTCGTACTATTAAAGGTAGAAGCTCTGCTAGCTAGTAGAAAAGCTACAAGACAGTTTTGTACTTTCTCTCTCTAGGTTGGCATCACCAAGGTGTTCGCAGAGGTTCTTCCCTCCCACAAAGTAGCCAAAGTGAAACAGTTACAAGACGAAGGAAAACGGGTGGCCATGGTTGGAGATGGTATCAATGACTCCCCAGCTCTTGCTATGGCCAATGTGGGAATTGCTATTGGCACAGGCACTGATGTAGCCATTGAGGCAGCTGATGTGGTTCTAATTAGGGTAAGAAATAAGAACGCCTCGTTAAAATGAGATAAGAAGGGTTAGAAGGCCCGGGATGTCTTGAATGATTCAGACCACTGCTGAGGTGTACAGCCTTCATAAGCCGGGAGAACTGGAGCAGAGAAGAGATTGTCTTCATCATGTTTGTTTAGTGTAGTGGTAATTACTCTATGAAGGAAACTTCCCCGTTTTCTGGGCACTAAAGATTTTGGGGTAATTAAAGTTTGAGAGGGGGCAAAGGAGGAAAAAGTGACCTGACCTTTGGTTAACATAAACTCTATTTCAGTAACGTACCACAGTACCTCCAAGGTTGTAGTCACTTCTTCCTACATACCAATAACACCATGACAGAAATCATGCTCAGTGTCCAGATCTGGACTGTGTGGTGCTGTACATGTTATTTGTATTACAATGACATCTGGAATGAAATTGGTACTGAATGTATGGGCTCTATAGCAGACAAACTAGAGCAGCCTACAGAATACTTACTACATATAGTCCGTTACATCCAATGTACAGTAGTTAGTTTTGAAATAGTATGATGACAGTACATGTATGGCGTTTTTTGTCTCTTTTTGACTTCCAATAAACGTGTTAATTTGCAGGATGATTTGATGGATGTGGTAGCAAGTATAGATTTATCAAGGAAAACTGTGAAAAGGATCCGTATCAACTTTGTCTTTGCTCTGATTTATAATCTCATTGGAGTTCCCATAGCTGCTGGTATGTGAATGTTCCCTTCAGTAATAAGATTGTGTTTAGTGATTAGAAGATTGCAGTAATTTACTATTGTGTGGAAGAGTATTCATTTTCTTTATTTCTGATTGTCAGTAACTGCTGAGTTCTCTTCCTGGGGACACTGCAGTGGTATATTTGTGAGCTGTCCTCCTCCCACGTTATGATTATTATGGCTATGATCAGCACATCAAAATAAGATAAAAGGTTTATTGAATGAGCTTGATCCAGTGAATAAGCAGTTTACTGCAGGGCAGGCAAGTCATGCCTACCTTTGAATTTCAGACTGCATGAATGACACATCTAGCTGTATTCATCTGTAGGTTCTCGCTCAGATAAAACACAAATATTTATCTGTTAAATAAATCCAGTTTATTAACTATTGAAATACAACTTCAATTAGACAGTCCATGTGAAATTGTATGTGTTACTATATGAATAATGCTGTGTTCCTGCTCTGAACTTACTGCTGTCTTATTTTTCTAGGTGTCTTCCTGCCCATTGGTTTGGTTTTGCAGCCCTGGATGGGATCTGCAGCAATGGCTGCCTCCTCTGTTTCTGTTGTGCTTTCTTCTTTGCTGTTAAAGATGTGAGCATCAACAATTTTGTAGTTCACAGTTTGGATTTGGAGCTCAGGTCTTTCACTTTCAGTGGCAGAAAATAAGTGTTGGAACTATGACAGGTTTCAAAGCTTTTTGAAAAACAGTACAGGCAGGTCCCTGTTTAGCAGCAATTGGTTTTGTTCTTGCTTGAGGAGTCATTTGGTCCAAACTGCTTCAGACAGTAGTGTTTAAAAATGTCATTTCTAATGTGAAGAGAAATGTACAGATCGGAAGTGTGTTGGGAATGGAAAATTCCTTAGTGGCCTTTGTGTATTTGTGAGAAATCTTGTCAGGACATGCTGGCTTCTGAGACAGTGCAGCTATAAACACCACACTGCCACTGAGGGTTGTTGCAGTAAGTAAATGAAGCTACTGCATTTGTCACTGCGTTACTGTTCCTTACTCAGCAGGCAGGAGAGTGTAGCACGGGGGGAGGAATGGTGGTACCTTTTGCTATGTAGTTAACGCACAAGGTTTCAGAAGGAGGAGAGTAGAAGAGCTGGCAAATGATAGCTGCAGTGGTCTGCTCTCAGTAAATACGTTTTGCCCATGTGTTTTGCAGATGCTGAGCACCACCAAAGCAGTTAAATACTGAGCAATGCACGTCAGCTTTACCTGTTCTGTGTTCTGGCCAAAAAGCACTAAAATAGTTTCTGATTGTATAGCAGCCTTGAAAAATCTGAAACTTTCACCACCGTATAATCAACCAAATCATAAGTGTCTCTGGCTTGTGCGTGATCCCAGGACGTAGGCTAGTTTCAGTCCATATTTTAGTGTATTTCAACCTGATACATACTGTCATTTTTTGTTTTTCCCTTCTTCAGGTACCAGAAACCAAGTTCTGAGAAACTCGAGTTCCAGGCCCATGGCCAAATGAGGCACAAGAGCCCATCAGAAATCAGTGTCCACATTGGGATTGATGAGACTGGGACAGGCTCTCCTAAACTGAGCTTAATGGACCGAATCATCAATTACAGTAGAGCCTCTATAAATTCTCTCTTTTCAGACAAGCGTTCAGTGAACAGCATAGTTCTTAATGAACCAGATAAGCATTCACTTTTGGTGGGAGATTTTGGAGAAGATGATGACACAGCATTATGAAAGACTCACCCCTGCTAAGCAAAAAAACCAAAACCTGAAGCAAAATGAAAAACCAACCAAAACAACTGTCTAGAAGTCTGTGCATGTATTGATCATTTCTGGAGGTCTTTTCAGATGTATTTCTTCTTTAATGTAGACAGCTAGTTTTTTGCAGTGATTTTCCAGAGGCTTTTTAAAAAAAAAAACAAAAAAACAAAAAACAAAACAAAAACTAGACTTACCAAAAAAAAGCTGAGCAGGGGCTGTTAATGCTGGCAAACAGGGTCATGTTACCATTCCATGAAGTTTGCAGTATAGCATTTTTTTTGGCAAAATGTCAAAATACAATTAAGGAAACTAAGGAACTAGAAACTTATTTCTCAGCCTTATAACAGGCTACTTTATGCATAGTCAAGTTTAGTGCTGTGTTAAAAAACTATAAATTGTTGCATCTGCAAAATACTGAAGGTTCGTGTGTTTCCAGATAGATGTGCCTTACTTCAAAACTTCCAAGACCCTTCTTGTTTCCATAGCCTGCCTTCTACCAGACAGGGTTTCTCTCAAATGTCTTTTCTTTCTATAAACATCTGGTTCCAGTTTTTCACACTCCTAGCTTCAAATCATCTCATCATTTGTGATCTGGATTCCTGCGAGACTTAAACCCAAAGCCTCCCAGTTACCTGCTTTCTAACATCAGACCCACACTTGACTCTAGACATTCATGCCCCGGTACACTCCCACTACTGAGATTGTCTGCTTGAAGGTTGAATGGGTTGAAAGGTTTGCTCATTCCCAGCCTCTCCTAAGCCAAAAACTCCTGCCACATCTGAATGTGATGTGGTATGAGCTGAAATGTTGAGCTTTTAAGAAGGCAGCAGTGTAGTTGGTGCTCACTACCCATGTCTGGTAGCACTCCTTAAAGGAACCAGAATAGTTTGGACTGGTGTCACGCAGACTGCCTTTAAAATCTTTCCTGTTCAGTCTTTGCAGATATCTAACACCATCAAAGAATTTATTATGTATCAGGTACTGCAGTAACATCAGCTGCTTGTAAAGATAATTGAAGTGTCTGCATACCAAGCATGGTTCAGAACCCACTCCATAGACTGATCCAAACCTCATTTGCTTGGGATGCTCAGATCCAGACTTTGTGAATTAAGAGTCTTCATTTGTTACTGAACTATCAAAATGCAGGTTTCGATCATTAATTAATATTAAAAATATTCTCAATGAGAAATAAAGGTGTTGATCACCTAGTAGGTAGCTACCTGTTTGTTACTTAGTAAACCTTGTTCTAAATCTTCTGCTGAGACAGCTATCTGAAGCAATTACTAGATTTGATAATGTTGAATTCATTATGGAATACAGTCCATAGGTGTAAACGTAATTCAAATTTGTGCTTGTAGCAAAGGAATAATCAGTTCGGAGTATGATAGACATCTCCGTAATATTCTAGTTTTTAACTCAAAGTCTGATGTCAGTGCATAGATTGTGTATGTAAAAAGTCATAAGTAAATAGATTTTGCATTTTATCTGAGAACTTCTGGAAAAATATCAGTGTATGGAAACGGAAGAGTTGTGCTAATGAGTATGTTAGTAAATCAGTATACTTGTTATATTGCAGTGAGGAGAACAACATAATTTGTTGCTGCTGCTAGTGTTAGAAACAAAGTATTTCTGTTGCAGGATTTAGGTTCTTAATATCTCTACATGAATATAGATTTTTTTTTTTTTTAATTAGATTATAGCTATATGTATATATATTATAGTGTTAAGAAATGCTGAGGTGAGGTACGTTACTGCAAAGCCATTCCATAAGATGTTGTTCTCAGTTTTCAGCAGCAAAGCTGTTTCTTACAAAGCAGATAGTTACCTAAAGACTGATCATATTATGATGGTTTTTTAGTGCTTCACAGCCATGCAAATGGTTTCCAAAGATTTCAGTTTTCTTGTTTATCTGCACTCGTTCTCAGTGTTGTTCTTGGCAGGTGAAAGAAGTCATAGAATCATAGAACACCAGGTTGGAAGGGACCTCAAGGATCACCTGGTCCAACCTTTCTGGCAAAAGCCCAGTCTAGACAAGATGGCCCAGCAGCCTGTCCAGCTGAATCTTCCAAGTGTCCTTTGTTGGGGAATCCACCACTTCCCTGGGGTGATTATTCCAGTGGCTGATTGTTCTCATTGTGAAAAATGTTCCTCTTGTGTCCAAGCAGAATCTCCCCTGGAGTAACTTGTACCCATCATCCCTCTTCTTTTCCATGGGACTCCTTGTAAAAAGGGAGTCTCCATCTGCTTTGTAGCCACCCTTTAAATACTGGAACATGGTGATAAGGTCTCCCCTAAGCTTCTCTTCTCAAGGCTGAACAAAGCCAGTTCTCTCAGCCTTTCCCCACATGCCAGGCTTCCCAGTCCCCTGATCATCTTCATGGCCGTTCTCTGGACCCTCTCCAGCCTGGCCACTGCATTTTTGTATAGCAACATCTTTTTTTGTGTATTAAAATATGTATTCTACCTATTTTTGTCTGGATTGTGCTCATGGGTGGTTTTAATCATTCAGTGAAGACGCAAGGCAGATCCTAGCATGCTTTCGGATGGGAGTTTCACTACTGCAGGTGCTGGTTATGACGTATGTGGCATGTAAAGGACAGATATGCTCTTACTGCAGGAAGTGGAGTAGTGGTTTAGGGTTAAATTCCTGGTTGGTTAATTATTTCCAAATAGATTTTTAGAGCACTTTGTCTTAGACCTTTTGTTGTCTAAATTGTACGTAGGTTGAATGTTTATGGTGGAATGTTGGCTTTATCACCAACTTTTTTCCCCATGCAGATGTTTTTCTAGACTTTTACATTTTCTGTGAAACACAGCATTTGATCCAGTTACAGCAAAATAAGGCTACTTTTCAAAACCAGGATACTTAATGAGATGAAGAGGTGATTATCAGGGAATAAGGAACAATAAAGTGCTGGCTGAGAGGGAAGGGGATAGCAGCTTGTAAGTACAGCTACAGGATCAAACTCTAGAGAGAAGAAATAACTAAGCTGAAGACCAGTGTTAGCCCAAGAATGAATGTGTGTAACGTGGTTGTGCTAAATCTAGGCTTGAATTGAGATGAAGCTTCTTAACTATAACAGCTATCAGGTTCCGAGACAGCTTCTGTTTGAGCTAGTTCATGTGGAAAGCAAATTGCTCTCATGTTGCTGAAAGAGGCTTCTATGAAATGATGCCAGCAAAAAGCAGTGGTCCGGACCCGGGAAGTCTGTCTCAATCCAGTTTTCCTCTTTAGGGAAGTCTGTCTGGACTTGTCTTTTCAACTTGAATATAGTGCACAGTGTGTCTGAGTAATGTATAGCTGATTAAGAAATTCAGAGTCCAGATCTTTGAAAATAGGTTGTCTGTCCAACACCCCCCTCCAAAGGTGTGTTACTGACTTAGGGAATGTTTATCTTGTTATTAAAATACTATATAAGGTGCTCTATGTTGAAGAACCAAAATATTTGTCAGTTTGAATGTACAGTGCAGGTGAAACAATGTAGGAGCTAAATGTTTTCCCAAATGTAAATGTTTTAATATGTAAATATGTTACTCCTGTTGGAGACAGTTTGGATTCAGAAATTTAAAATATCACTTGGAAACATACAGTTACAAATGAAATTGTATTACTAGTTTGTCTATTTTATTGTTTTATGTAACTAGCTATTTATAAAACCTATGTTTTATTTAAAAAACAAAGTACATATGCTCGAGGCTTTAAAAATTGCTCTTTGAATCTTACCAATAAAGTTTTAAAAGAGTAGACACTTGAAATTTTATACAAAGAAGAATGTGAAGTTGACAAAACACAATGAAAACAAGCAAGCATTTTTATTTATTAAAAACTATGTTTATATTTCTTCTTAGAACTTTCAATGAAATGTTTTAAACTTGAGATTGTTTTTTTTATTCAATGTTGGTATGAAGAATGGAGAAACGAATGCCGTTGGAGAATGCTGATTTAGTGTTGTTATATTTCTTTACATCTAGAGACATGTAATCTCACACTTCCTATTAAGTCTGTGCCTCCATCATTATAATGGCAATTACAAGCTATATAATAAAAATGTATCGTCCAAAGACTGTTTTAAATCATGTTCTGTGATCTCCTTTAAATATTTCTTTTGCTGACTTAACAGGTTCTACTGCCAGCTGTGCAGAATCTCTCCCCATTCGTCCTTCTGCACTGTTTGATTAAAAGGCCAAGCGTGGCACCTCGGGGACATGATGATGTTGGATTGCCCTGCAGGAGGTTGAAATGTGCACCTACACAGGATGGAGGTTCTGAAAGCAGCTTTGCACATCACGTGCCCTTCATCTTCCCTGAGTAAGAGCACCTTGGGTGAAACGGGAAAGGCGAAGCTCTGTTCCTTTTTGCTTGTTCAGCAAAAGGCTGAGGGTCAGGGTTCTTAGGTATGTTTCCAGCTCTGCTAAACTGCGTGGCCTCAAGCAAGATATTCAGCCTACGTGAAACTGTGGGGCTGTTGGCAAATGGTATTAGTGAAAGTTGGGAAATTGTGGACTAATCCTCATGAAAGAGCACCCTTGCAATAACAGGATCATGGAGCGGCTGAGGCTGCTGGAGGTCACGTAGTCAAAACCTGCCAAACCAGGTGGGCTAGGGCTGGTTGTCCAGGACTGAGGTTTTTAATATCTCAGCCTCTTTGGGCAGCCTGTTCCAGTGGTCAGTCACCCTCATAGTAAAAAAGTGTTTTCTTACATTAGGATGAAATTTTCCATGTTTCAGTTTGTACCCGTTGCCTCTTGTTCTTTCGCTGGGCACTACTGGGAAGAGTCTGGCCGGAGTGCGGTGGTTTATGCAGTCACTCCGTGTCCCAAAGAAAAGTGCTAAGCATGAAGCGGTGGGGAAAATTCCACGGGAGTGCTCCTGTCTTCCCATGGGGATGGCCGGGCTCCCATCCCCAAAATAATCATTTGGTTCAAAACATAGAAATCTCCTGCCAAAGCCTAGATGCTGCCCTGAATGGTGTTTGAAGCAACGAGGAGCAGTAAGAGGAGAAGATCCCCTTCTCTGCTCCCCAGCTGACCTTGTTAGAAGAGGTCCTGGCAGCCTGACCGGTGCCCGGGTTGTGGTCCCTGACAGCCAGCACACGTCCAGGGGGGTTTCTGCCTTCCCTTCGTCAGGATAGGAAAAAGGTGCGAAGCCTGAACAGATCTTCTATTTTTGAGTTTTCTAGAAGCAGCTCTCAAACATTTTAAGTAGTGACTGAATGCTCCAGTATTTCTTTGAGCTGTTGCTCTTATTTTCATTTTAAAAAAAAAACCAAATCCACACACAAAAAAACCCTGCTCTGTCCAGAACCCTTCTTATTCTCTGTGTTTGCCAGGCTGCCTCTCCACCATGCCTTATGCCTGTTTGCAAGTAGACTGGCCAGGATGGCTTCTGGAGTTTCATGATGCTGTTTTTATGTCCAGAATAATAATTTCCTTTTGATTTTTTTTTTTTTTTTTTTTCTGGAGTGCTCTGGCCAGGGTGCCACAAAGGTCAGCTTTCTCCCTGTGACCTCAGCTCATCTCTGCCTATCACCAAGACGGCCTCACTTGGAGATAGCGTGAAGGTTTTTAGTGTGATGCTGCATGATGAAGACCTTGTGTCTCCGTCAGTATCTGAGACAACTCACTGCTTGACTAGAGCTGGATGGGCAGATCCTGCTGCGCTGGGGAGCAGGCTGAGAGGGGGTCCACGAGACCACACCACTGGGGAGCGTGACTACCTAGCTCTGAGCGAGGAGGCGTGGGAAATCCCATAAGCTGTACAGGCATATTTAGTGACCACTAATTTTAGGCAGAGTAAGCCTTTGTCTTCACTAGCTCTGCTGTTGTGTAGAAGATACAAGTTTGCATCCACATCTTCCCAAGGTGAAGAATTTTGCTTTCCATTTAAGACACAACACTGTAATTTCATCATCTTGGACTGACTCTCATTGGCCTAATATGCCCCAACAGGTGTGGAAACCTACAGGTTTTAGCACTTGTGGTTTTGAAAATACAGGCCTGTTGCACAGAAATAGTAACCAAAACATTTAGGTTTCTTTAATTTAGGCTTTTAGTTATTTTGGGTTAAGAGAGTGTGTGAACCTTCTAATTTCAAATTGAACAGTCTCTTTCAGCTATGGCTGAGTTAAAAAAAAAAAAAAAAATTGCTAGAACTTTTTTTTGCATCTGTATCCAGCTACAGTTTTGCAGCAGATTGTTTAGTGAAGTGGATCAAAAGCACCTCGGTCTGCAGCCTCAGACTTTGGTCACTGCGCACATGGATACAATACTTGCCATTTAAACTTGGTAAGGGAAGTTTGACTGAAGCCATAGTCAGTCTCCCAAGGTACAGAACACATCACAGCCACAGGGTAAGATCAAACAATTTTAACACCTTTTGGTTTTCAGCAGCTTTATAGTCACAAGGCTAAAATAGAAGAAAATAGGCTGTATCAGTCAAAGCATGTATTGAGATCTGGAAAATCTTTCTTTTGACTCTCATAGAAAACAGCTTATTTTTTGAGGCAATCCAGACCAGCCAGCCTAGCTGCAGTGTCACAGTAAGGTATCACGCATCAGCAAACCAGGCCTTTATACCTGCTGCACAGAACCCAGCCCCATATCCAAATTATCTGATGTCACACTGATGGTGGTAAGTATCTTCTATAACTGAAAGTCTTTTGTCTAACACACAATATCTTTTCACTTACAAGATGTAGTTCCCATATTCTGTTATCTTGGCAAGAGAAATACCCAAGTCAAGTAAGCTACCCTGATGCAAAGCTGCACAACCTCTCTGAACAGACAACTCACCAGATGAACACATCTGGATTTTAAGATTATTTTAGTTGAAGGTGCCATAGTTTAGGGAGTATCACTGATTAATCTGTATGATCTTGATGTAGATTCATTGAAACATCTTATTTATATCAACTTGTATTTTAAAAAACACAAAAAAACTCCAAAACTCAGACGCTTGTTAAGTAGCCAGGACTCCCCAAATCCTGTGTCAAATCTTCTTGAGAACAAGGTGCAATCCAAAAATCTCTGCGTTCATCTGGCCAACATCCATTATCTGTGGTTCAAGTAACACCAAGTGTAATAGGTATAGAATTAGAAATTATGAAGACTCTCCTGGAATTTGAAAATGCATCTCCTTCCCCGAAATCCGACAAGTCAGTGATGTTTCTGAAGTGACAACTCAAAAGTTGTCACGGAGTAAATTCTGTTGCAAGCCACTGACTTCAGTTTTACAGTAGCTCATATGGGTGTTTACTACAGCAGCCTCTCTCCTGCCTCATGTTCCTTGGTGGCAGCAAGCAGCTGTGAGAGGGATGAGCAGAGCTCTCACATTCAATATTACTGTTTTGTTAGGAAAAGAATAAAAAAGGTTAAATTATTTGGATCACATACAGGTTCATTTTACCCTGTATGACATCTGTGGAACAAGGATCAGTTTCTAGGGCTCTGATGGAAAATGATATAGTAGATAATGATAGGCTTAGTGGTATTCTAAAATTTATTTTCTTGTTTAGCATTACAGAAGCATGCAAAAATGCTGTATTCCAGCAGCCTGCCCCAGCCAGGTACTCCACTGGTTAATGCTGGAGCCTCTGCAGCTGCTGCCTGAAACATCGTGTTTTCAGGCTTGATGGCGTCCATTTTACCAGCACACAGTTCCTGTTCCCTAGATGCTTTCATTTTAGTATGGCTACATTATTTTCTTTTAAGATGCTCTTTTCTGTGTTTTTCTTTTGAAGTAGCGTTTTTAAAAAGCATCTCTGCAGAACAATTTGACAAGCCACAAAGGTCAGGCTTTGATTCAAAATTCAGCATCTGTCTTGATACCAGAGCTGTGCTACTGTCAGTGTTGGTTTTTTTCCTTCCAGTTGCCTGGATAATTTAAGTAGTAGCTGTGAACTGGTATCGCGTCTACCAGGTCGTAAATGAAAACTGCTGAAGAGGTAAAATTTTTTTGTATCCCATTTAAACACATCTCTAAAGTAAATTCCTTAGGGAGAGTATAAGAGCTGTACATACATACATGTTCAGCTGCAATAAAAAAAGAGGCAGTGTGTATAAAGTAGGATTCTTCAGCATTTCCAGTTTAACCTCCCCCATCCAATTTTGTACTTGGACAGACCTGAAGCCCTTCATTCCCTGCTAAGGTTAGAAATGAGATTGCATGCAATAGTTAGCCAACTTGCTGACATTAGGCAGGTGATAGGAGCAGCCAAGAGATGTACATATTTAATCTCTGACCACAGTGGTGCTAGAAGCTTTGAATTTTGCCCAGGTTTCAAGCAGTTTTCTCCACGGTGCCAGACTGGCTACTCAAACATTCTATCCCAATTGATCATTGAAAAGAAGAGCTGGGAAGGATTACAAAAAACAGACAAAGCTAGAGCTGGTGAGAACATACAGGACTTGTCTTCACATAAACTTTAATCTTCAGAGCAGTAGACAGTTTGTGGGTATAAATCTTAATATTTTTGCCTAATTTGTCCCTAAATTCCAATGCTCCTACCTGGTAATGCTCCCAGTGCAGTGCATGCTTTGCAATCACACCTTGAGACAGAGGCCCTGCCTTGCCCTGAAGGGCAGAGAAGTTTGCCAGCAGGTAACTCCACCTTTTATTTAGGATGAAAAGGCAAAAGCTAACCTTGTACATGGACACTGTAACCTTTGCTTGAATATTGCACTGCTGCAAGGAGAAAACTTGGAACCTGGTTTTAAATAGCTTAAAATGCAGAGCAGTTCTAAAAGCAGGAAGTTTCAGACACTGGGTCAGGCAATACAGATGAAGATGCAGATCACCGGACTCCGAACCACAGCCCTGCAGTTAGATTCATATAAATATCCATGCCAGTGCACCAAAGCCCCTGATCTGTCTGAACTTGCCACAGTTCCATGCCTTTTGGCTAAACGAAGCAGGCAGGATGATGCAGGCGATGCCTGTCTCAGTCTAAAGTACAGCTTCTGTTTTACGTTCCTATAAATTACTTCCTAGGATGGTCACAGATCTAAAGCCAGATCCTTGGGATTTTTTCATTACCAGCCCTTTGCCCTCCTGACTTTGTTGTACTGGTTAATTTAAACATACAGGTTTTGAACTCTTTGCATGGGCTTTTTTTTTTTTTTCTTTAAATATTTACAGTATATTCCAAATATTTCACAACAGGGGGGGAGGACAGAAGGGTGACTCAAGAATGGAAATGAGATTTGAGCTTCCACCATGTGTCTGTAGTACCTCCCCTTTCTTTGTAATGTCTTTAAAATGCACAAATTCTGTTGTCCTGGCCATATCCCATCTGGAATTATGTTCTGCCACCACACCTTCTCATGTGACTTCCTCCCTACTCCCCTACCTCTTGTTCTTCACCAAAAAATGGAGAAAAAGCAAGCAAACATAAAACCAATGTACACCTTATGTTAGTAAAGTGTTCATATGGCTGCAGTTCTGCCCAGACCAATAGATCCTTGTAACTGCGCTAAGCTTCTAATTTCAGATGCCTACGGACTTCTTATGCAATGCTCTACTAGCCTATTAGATGTATACAGTTATAGTGGAGTTAGTACCATTGAGTAGAGGGTTCTTGGTGGGTTTTATTTATTAATTTTTATTTATGGCTTGCTTATTCCTCTATTCCTGAATGCAGTCTTCTAACAGGGGCTTAGCAAGTGTCCCACTGTCCCCTCTCCTCAGTCAGCTGTGATATACACCTATCTTCCATCTTACATTACTGTGGGTGCTCAAGTTACTGTGTTACTTCTCCTTCATACTTTTTTACCCCTAGGAGGTAGCATGCAAGCGTTTTAAAATAAAGTCTTGTACTAATGAATGAATCCATTTACTAGGGAAAGTAATTGGTGCTGCAAGGGTGCAGTTGTGAACTGCAGCTGAAAGGAGCCTTCCTTTCTGAGTCAGCAGCAAGGAATTTAACCGTTGCCTTTGAAGAAAGCAGCACAGCACAAAGTAGATCAGGGAGAAGGAAATAGATTAATTTCAGAACAGTGAAAGAGTTACAGCTCCTGTGGATCTGGAGTACCCCTTCCTTATCTTCTTACCCAGTGTCCCTTTAACATGAGCATTTGTTCACCTGCTGTCAGCTGTGCTTCAGGCTTTGCAGGTAAAAGCATCTCTTGGCAGCCGTGCTTGTGTGCAGGCGATCCCCACTCCTGAGAGAGCTCTTTCGCTGAACAAACCCTGGAAGAGGATCTGAACATGGAGTGCTCCTAGACGCTGGGCAGGCTGGATTCAGGACCAATTTAGGATTTGATTTCTGGACCTTGGTGTATGTTGTATTAGCGTTGGTATTTCCAGACATCCCTGCCCACTGGTGGTACTGCAAGCGCCATCCAGGTCCTCTGGTTTGCAAGGACGCTGTTGGCTATTGGAAGTTCAGGACTGATTTACTAATTTGCAGGAAGGACCCTTGGATACACCCCGGATTTACTCTGAAGTCAGTATTGAAACCATTGCTGGACTTAATTTAATTTGAACCCTGATTGTATCGTTTATAGCTATAGATGATAAACTATGGTGACACACACTGATAAACTAAAGTGATGTTTGCCTGGTTTTCTCCATCCTAAAGGGTGGTCACCTAACGGGTGATTTCATTAGTTTGTATTCACTTGTGTTATTTCAACTTTCATTACTGTTGAGACTGCCATATAACTTGAGTAAACTGATGTGTCTAACCTGTCTTTGAGGCCCCATCTAGGCTTTTCAGAGCCTTCTGTCAAGTTTTGCAGCGGGAGGCTCCCACTCTTGATCCTCTGCCCCAGAGCCCACGCAGGCTGGAGGTTTTCATCCATGTGTGAGCAATGCATTTTTTTGGCGCTCTGTAGATCTTCAGATTTTGTTTCTTGTGAGTGCATGTTTTTTTTCCTTCTGTTTTGCCTGCGCTTTGCTTGTCTGTTTTAGGCTGTTCCTCTAAGTTTAGCCTTTCTGTCAGCAAAGATCTGATTTTTGTCAGGCACATTGCTGTTACCATTTCCTCAGCAGTGTCTGTGTATTTAGTGAGTGCAGCAAAAAAAAAAAAACCTTCCAGGGAATAGAAAGCTATCCTATGGGTAAAAGCTGTAAAACCACGAGCACCTTTTTTATACAGCATACAGTTCATTACACTGCATTATAGGCCACACACACACAGGTACAGATGGTGGGCTAGGCCAGTTTTTGACAGCACGCACAAGCCATACTTCTGGAAAGTGTATCCCTTCAGTTGTTTTCTTTCATAGTTGTCTTGAGAAGTTTTTATCTAGGTCATTTAAAAATATCCTGGGTTTTGTCTTGTTCTTTTAGGTGAGATGCTAGGCCTGTACCAGAGCTGTGTAGGTGCCTGTCCTTCGTTAGGATTCCCACCCATTGACACACATTCTAACTTTTATGGATAATTTATGCTCAGATAAGATCCAGAACTATTAATTTGGATGATTAGAGGTTGGAAACGAGAGAGGATTAATTTCCGTGAAAGCTGATGAAGTACTTATGGAGGAAACAAAACAAATCGCTCATAATTTCCAAAAGCGGGAAGTATACTGTTGCTGTGATCCCAAGCACGTTTGTGTTATCTGCAAGAACTGCTACGCTGTGTTTTCCAGGAGGAAAAAAAAAAAAAAAAAAAAAAGGCATGTTGTGTGGCGCACTTCTGGATTTTTTCAGTTCTACAACTACGTTTTTAAACGCGTGGCCCGACCGCCGCCTCAGGAAGGCGCTGTGGGGAGACGCCCCGCGCCCGGCTGCGTGCGGGACGTGACCAGGCCTCCCGCGGGGGCGGGCAGCCCGCCGACGGGCAGGCGGCTCGGCCAGTAGCGACGCGGGGCGGGCAGTGCGGCCCAATCGTTGGCGGGCAGGGGCGGGGCGGGTTGGGTTGCCGGCGGTTCTGGCGGTCGCTGCGGTAGAGCGCGGGCGGCAGCGGAGCGGAGCGGATCGGGCCGGGCCGGGAGCAAACATGTCTCTCTCCAACAAACTCACCCTCGACAAGGTGGATGTGAAGGGCAAGCGGGTCATTATGAGGTGAGGAGCCGGGGCCCGCCGCACGGGGAGGGGAGGAACGGCCCGGCCCGGCGGCGGCAGTGCCCGCAGCCGCCGCCCCTGGTGTCCTTGTGGTGGGGGCGGCCCCTCAGCACCGGCCGGGCCCCGCGGCGGGAGGGCGGTGGGTGCCTCCCGAGGATGGAGCAGGGTGGGGAGCCGCCCGCGGCCTCCCGGGCCCTGGTGGGGCCGACCTGCGCCAGCTTCCGCTGGGGCCGGGTGGGCTCCCCGGGGCGCGGGCGGGCGGGTTTTTGGTGTTTTTTTTTTTTGTTTTTTTTTTTTTTTTTTCTTCCATACGCCGACTGTTGGAAAGGCCCCGTGCATCCTGAATTACCCATCAAAGAACCGTATCTGTTTCCGTGTGAGGGGGGATGTGAGTGACGGGGAGGAGTGTACATCTAGGCATGGCTCAGCTCTGGCAAAGCCGAGGGGAGCGGTGCCCGAGGCTGCCCGGGCTGGAACCGCAGGAGCTCTGCCTTGGCAAACTGCTCTGCTAGCACATGTATCGTCCGCAGGCGGTTTGAGGGGAAAACTAGCCGGTGTGCCGTGATTTTGTTCGGGAGTACAACAAAAAAAGTTGGTTCCCCGGTTCTCTTTTTTCCTTCTTGCAAAACCAAAAAGTGTTGCAATGAAAAAGTGAAAGTATGGCTCTGGCTGGCTACCCAAATAAAATAATTACGCTTTTTTGCAAGAAGAGTCGAATGGCAGGTATTCATCGCATCCTAGCGTAAAACTTCAGAATGGGAATTCATAGCTTATTTATAAAACATCGAGGCGTGCTGAAAGCCTAATGTTGGAATTGTTTCCAAATACTGGGCAGTAAGGGCCGAGAGGTACATCGTGATATGTCTTTCTCAAAATACTTGTATTTTGGAATTCTTTGTCCAAGGTCACCATCCTGTGACTACTGTGTGTCTGTTAACTTGCTGGGTGAGTAGGCAGGTATAGAAAAATGATAACTTTTCTTCCTTCTAGTTTGTGTCAGACCACTTGCTCTTTTTATCTTGTTTCTCTGTCGTCTTATTTTGAAGTAGTTCCCTAGAAATTTGATGACCAGCAGCTAGCCCCCGTAACGAGTACTGAAGAAGCTAGCTCAGAATTTGTGTGCATTTCTTAAATCTGGTACAACAAAAGATATTTTTATCCCTGTAACAGCTGATTTTTTTTTTTCTGCCTGTATTTTACTTTTCTGAGCTGTGTTACAGAGAACAGTCTTAGTCTTGCATTGGCCCAGGGTGGGTTAGTCAGCTCTTGGTCTCCAACAGTTAATGCACATTCTGAGGGGCTACTAAAACTGAGTGAAACAGGAGATGACGTGCCAGTCTGCATCTCATTTCCCCAAAGAGTTGCCATGTGCTCTTAGTACTACTAAGATTGAAAGCTCTTTTTTATTCTCATATTCATCATCATTTTGGCATGCTCATAACCTGCTTATCTTCCAGTCCTAATACTGGAGCTTTAAGAGAAATTGGGAATAGGGAGGAGAACCGGGTTCAAGAGGAGCTCAGATTTCAGTTGTCTGCAGGGGGGAAGAAGGGTTAGCTGAGTCTTTCTTTTGTAGCTCTGATGGCTCTATAAAGCAAACTATTCTTTTATTCCCTCATTTTAGAGTAATACCACAATAATGGTGCTTTTCTTTCCACTTTGTAGAATTAGTCCACTGTACTGCGGGGCTGCCAGTTCAATTTCTTTCTGCTCAGCTACTCCTGTTTTACTGGCAGCTTTTGTTGTTCTTTCCATCTGTTTCTCCTGTGGAGCAGGCTGCAAGAGAATTCAAGCCACTTCCTGAATTTTGTTGTTCTTTAATATAGATAGAGAGTGATGATAGCTAGACTGTAGCACCGTGTATCATTGTCCTCGTTGTGTTACGCTGTTACAGTTGGTTAGATGTTCCCCTCTGTAGCTCCCTGAGTAATTCCTGCCTTTGCTGTTACGCAACCCAGCTTCCTGCTGCTGCTATTCAGCACATGGGCACAAGGTACGCTGCTGAGAAATGGCTGCTGAAACTCCTCGGTTCTGTGCCTTCACCTGGCACCAGTAGCGAAGCTACTTCCAGATCCACGTTAGGTCTTACAGTGGGAATGTGATAAGCCACAGCACTCAGCTGCAGAGAGATTAGAGCTGCCAGGAACAGAAATTCGAAGTTGTAGGCAATAACGACACCTTCTTTGAGCCTGCCTGCTTGCCGTAGTAGTCCAACCAAGTATTTTAGAGGCCTCATTAGAGAATGCAATGTCACTTCATTATTTGCTTCCTTTCCCTTGGAAGGTCCCAGTTGGTGATCTGAGGGCATGTTGTTTACTGAAGAGGTTGTTGGGGAGCTTGTACAATCTCAGCTTTATTTCCTGCTTCAGCATCATTGCTACTGCAGAGATGAGCATTAGAATGTATTGGTGGCACAGCTTTACTAAGTCATTCTAGCAGATGTTTGTTCCTTGTTTGTGTTCTGCTATTACAAGCAGAAATGGCTACTGGCCTACTGATTTCAAAACAGAATTTATATACAAGGTAGAGCTAAAAATCTTACTCTAATTGTAACATTGCTTTTCTGGCCAGCACCTTTACTGGCAGGTTCTCTCACTCTTTGTAAAGAAATTTGTTGAATATTTCATTTTATTTCTGTTTTTTTAGGGTTGACTTCAATGTTCCAATGAAGGATCACAAAATAACCAACAATCAAAGGTGAGCCATAATTGCCATCCCAGGTGGAAGCCCCGAACTGTTTTCTCTCTGATTTTAGCCTGGTTCTGTTAGCAGTACCTGTAATGCTACCGTGATTAAGCTGTCATTGCTTGTACCAGGATATTAAAGGTGTCTCAGAGAAGGTCCAACAATTGTTAATTAAAACCCTTGCAGCTATTAGCAAGCTACACCAACTGCAAGGCTTCTTCTCACCGTAGTTGCTGTGGAAGGCATGTAGAAAAAGCCTCTTAATTGTACAGATTCTAAACTTCATTCTTTAAATATCAATGAAGTGTTATGACCATTTCACAACTATATCTCTTCAGCTGTATGTGAATATTTGTTGGTAGTATCCAGAAGACTTTCTGCCTCCTGGTTTGCCTGCAGTTGTGTTAAATTGTTGGTTTATGTTAGAATAATTGTTCTAGTGCAGCATACAAAAATAGAGGGTTTAGAAACAGTGATATTAAATATCTTGTCTTGCTTGTCTGTCACTTGCAGACAGATGCTAGTTTTGTTTGCCACAATATGCTCACTGCTCAGTTTCCCCATCATTTCTTTTTCGGTTTGGGTCACAGACTAAACCAGGGAGCCTAGTAATGTCCAGGTGTGTCCTGGCATTTCTTAATTACAAGCAATCATCAGAATTTAGATTACAAAATGCATTTTACTTCTGTGTCCTACATCGCATGGAAGATAACAGTGAAGCATATGAAAACACGCTGGGGCAGAATTTTGTTGATGCTTTCTGAACCGTGCTTCAGGATTGTCTCAGTCCCTAGAAGGGTAGATTGGGTTAGCTCCAGAGGGGAAGCTGTGCTCTGTGAGATGTGGTTAGTCTAGG